TGGAGTGCCCACATGTTATGGCTGATACATCGGGATGCTCTTGGAAACCTGATAGGACAGGGGTCGGGGGATCCTACAGCAGCGTTTCGCCTGAGAGGTCCCACGATCGGGGCGCGAACTGGCAAAGGTGATGGCCCCTGACGGCTCCCAGTTGGGGTGCGGAAGTGCGACGCCCATTGCATAGCGGTGATCATGAGGCTCTGAACGGAAAGACGTCGGAGGTGCCCAAACCTGCGAATCGGCTACTCTTTCCCCACAAGTAACACGCGAACGGGCAGGTGCAACACCCCATGGGCGGCCACTCCTCGGGTGGGCGCGACAGTCAAATGTTATACCCCCCTGGCGGCCCCTCCTTGGGGTGCTCGCATGGCGTGCCTGCCACATCGGGGAGACCACGAGGTTTGCGCAGCAAGCCTAGGGGCCGCCAAACGAGCGCACCGCCCGAGACATCCAGGCAGTCTGGCCGCGAGCCGGCACGCGCTGTACCCCCCGGCGGCTCTCCCTCTTTTGGGGGGTGATCAACTGCCACGCTCAGGAAGGGAAACAGCTGGGCCATCAAACAGGAGGAGGAGGAGGAGGAGGCGGAGGAGGAGGAGGAGGAGGAGGAGAAGGAGGAGGAGGAGGAGGAGGAGGAGAGGGAGGAGAGGGAGGAGAGGGAGGAGGAGGAGGAGGAGGAGGAGGAGGAGGAGGAGGAGGAGGAGGCACACCGCTCTGGCCACCCCCACCGTCTGGCCGCGAGCGGGCGAGGGTCCCGCCCCCTGGCCGCTTCCCCCTCCCGGGGGCCCGCAGGCCACGCCCGCGGAGCTGCGGCGCGCACGGGACCCCCCACGAAGAGGCCAGCCTGGGCCACCGAACGGGCACGACGCCTGGGACGCGCACGCAGTCTGGGCGCGAGTGGGAGACACATGTCCTACCCCCTATGGCGGCTCCTGCGCGGGGTGCTGACATGCAACGCCTGCTGCATCGCAACGAGCATGGGGCCCTGAAAAGAAGAAGAAGAAGAAACCTGGGCCAGCAAATGGGCACACCGCCCGAGACAGTTCTGCAGGAAGGCCCCCAACGTGCGAATGCCACACCCCGTGGCGGGTCCCCCTTGTGGTGACCAAGCGCACCGCGTGCTACATCGCGACACGCATCGGACACCCCAAAGAGAAAGCTCTCTGCCACCGAACAGGCGAAGCGCCGGAAACATCCCCAAAACCTGGGCGCGAACGGGCAAATGTTCTAGCCCCTAATGGCTCATCCTTTGCGTGTTCAATCACCACGCCTGCTACATCGCGATGAACATGCGGCCCCCAAAGGCACAATTCTGGGCCAACAATCAGGCAACCACCTGAGACATCCCCACAATCTGGGCGCAACCGGGCACGTGTCCTACACCGATGTGGCTCATCCTTGGGGTGCTCGAGTACCACGCCTGTTACATCGCGATGAGCACGCGGCCCTGAATAGACATTATACGACTCGGATGTCCCCACATGTGCATAGCATATCATGGCACGTCCCACTGTGAGTGTCTGACTGTGACTGTTTGGGTATGACAGCGAGTCCAGGTGGACGACGAGTGCGGCGACGACCACACCGACGACGGCGGCGGCGGCGACGACGACGACGACGACGGCAACGGCTTCGATTAGGGACAACGACGACGTCATCCCACAGGCAAACAGGCGGTTAGCAGGCCCCCTCCCTTCTCTTTCTTGTCACTACTCGTCGTGCCCCCTCCCTTCTTTTCCTCCGTCCTCACTTCTCCCTGTTTCTGCGTCTTCCTCTTTCCTCCTCCGTCGTCCCTCATCCGTCCTGACAGCAGTCCTCCCCCTACATCGAAGTGATCATGGGGTCCTGAATGGACAAGAGTCGGAGGTGCAACACCGAGCGCCTCGCTCAATGCATCCTCACGTTCTGGCCGCCCGGAGTGCTGAAACCAGCGCCTCGCTCGAGACATCCCCATAACCTGTTACGGGAGCACCGAAGTCCAAGCCACCAAATAGGCAAACCACCCGATTCATCCCCACAGTATCTTCTGATCTCACCCAAACCCCAGGCACCGAAGAGGCAAATCGCTTATGATATCCCCACAATGTGGGCGCCAACGGGGCCGCGCAATAACCCCTTGCGGCTGGCTCCCCAATGGGGGCCTGACACCAGCGCCAAATTTCGAGACGTCCGCACAGTCTGACCTGAAAGCACCGAAGTCCAAGCCACCAAACAGTCAAACGGCAAAGCAGTCAAACGGCATGAAGCATCACCACAATCTGGACGCGAACAGGCCAATGCCCTGATCCCTGACGGCTTTTCATTGTGGTGCTCAACTGCCACGCCTGCTGCATCGCGACGAGCATGCGGCTCTGACGAGAAAGGTGTCTGGGACACCAGACAGGCAAACCGCCTGAGGCACCCCCACAATCTGGACGCGAACTGGCAGATGGCATGCCCCCCTACATGGAATACTCAAACGCCACGCCTACTACATCGCAATGAGCATGGGCCATTGAATAGAAAAATCTGGACCGCCAAACAGGCAAACCACCTGAGAAATTCCCACCATCTGGGCGCGTGGCAAATGCCACCCCCCCTGACAGCCCATCCTTGTGGTGCTCAAATGCCACGCTTGCTACATCGCGATGCGCATGGGGCTCCGCAAAGGGATGGGCCTGAGCCACCAAACCTGCACACCGCATGCGAAAACGCAAATATTATGCCCCCTGGAGCTCTTCCTTGGCGTAATCAGCTGCAGCGCTTGCTACATCGCCATGAGCGTGGGGCGCTGAAAGGGAGGAGTCTGCGCCACGAAGCAGCCAAACCGCCTGAGACAACCCCACAACCTGGAAGCGAACTAGCAGATGTCCTCGCCCCTGGCGGTTCCACGCCTGTTACATCGCAATGAGCATGGGGCTCTGAAAAGACCGGTGTCTTGGCCACCACACAGGCAAACCGCCTGAGACATCCCCACAGTCTGGGCACGAGCGGGCAAATATTCTATCCCCCGGCGGCTCCTCCTTGGAGCCCTCAGATGCCACGCCTGCCACGTCGGGTGTGACTTAGTCTAAGCGTGAATACAATACCTGTGGATTTGGCGGGGCGGCGTCGCCACAAATCCGCCTCCTGGATCTTGCAAGCCCAGGGGGTGCGGGCCCACCGTACCAGCCCTAAGAGGCCCTTTGAAAAGGGGGTTCTCGAAGGGTGCACTCCCTGGGGAGCGGTGCGGCAACTGAAGTCCTTGGGCCGGGGTGTAACTACAGCTTTAGGCCGACAATCTACTGGGTGTGGCGCGGGCGGCCGTGTATGGGGGGTAGCATTCCTGGGAGTCTCGAACCAGGCGGCAATGTACCTTGTTGGTCATAGTGGCCTGCCGCTCTTTTGCTGCGCGGTCCGACTGCATGTGAATTCGTGCAGGCACCCTGGGCACCCACCATCGGGAGGTGGGCCGCTCCCTGAGCGGCAAGCCCAGATGTTTGTGCCGGCAAACAAAAGAGTTACCAGTGGATCTGAGTATGAGGGAGTCTGACTATGAGTGGCTGAGTCCCAAAAGGTCTGGGTGTAGGTGTACTTAGCTGAGTCTGCACGGGTAAGTCGTGGGTGAATCTAAGCATGTGTAATCTGAGGGGGAATGAGTCTGAGCAAGAGTGATCTGAGTGTGAGGAGAGGATGGGAGGCGGGAGTGGGCGAGGATGCGGGGACGTCCCAGCAGCACCAAACACTCCACACATCGGATACGGGGAAGAAGTCTGGGCCACCAAATAAGCAAACCGCCTGAGACATCCCCACAATCGGGCCGCGAACGAGCGAGTGCCCTACCCCTGGCGGCTCCATCCCGGGGTGACCAAGTGTCGCGCCTTCTACATCGCGATGAGCAAGGAGCTCTCAACAGAGAGTGTGAGAGTGAATCTACATGTGCGTGAGACCGAGTGTGAGTGAGTCTGGGTGTGCGTAAATCGGTGTGCATGATCATGTGCGTGTGCGTGTAAATCTATGTAGATGACTGTGAATGTCTACATGACCGCGCCTGAATTTGAGCGAGTCCAGGTGAGAATGAATGAGTATGAGTAGCTCTGAATATCAGCGAGTCTGGGTGTGTGGACCTAAGTGCTGGGTACAGCTAGGCTGATTATGAATGTGTACGGCTGTGGATATCGGTGTGAATGAGTATGAGTGTGAGCGACCTGGGAAGAGGCAAGCGGGCGGAGACGAAGGGAGGCGGATGCATCACACTAATAGCAAGAACACCATGCTCAAGATACAGGAAACATCTGGATCCTCGAACCTCCTGCTCACCTTTCTCCTCCCCCATCCTCCTCCTCCTCTGTCTGTTCCTCCTCCTTCACCACTTTCCCTTATGAACAACTCGTTCCTGTCGCACCCCAGGGTGTTTCGGTAGGGCGGGACGGGCGTTTCGCCTGAAACTTCCTCACGATGTATGATCCTGAAGCTGGAAATGTATAACAGCTTCACGATGGAGGGCGGGTCGTTTTCCAGATGAGGCTCTCGGCTGAGCCACGCGCACATTCGTCTTAATCGGTTGCCAGAAGATCACGGACGGATGGTGGTCCCATTTCCAAACTTGGATCTCGCCTTAGCGCCGCGCACATTCGTCTTAAAAGTGTACCAGGATTTCACTGATGGATGGCGGAACGTGTTCAAAATGGGGCTCTCGCCTTAACGCCGCGCACATTCGTCTTAACGAGATGCAAGAGCTTCACGGATGGAAGGCGGCTCCTGTTCAACACGTGGCTCTCGCCGGTGTGCCGCGCACATGGGTATCAACAACACACAAAACGGGCAGGTGAGCTGGACGAATGGAGGAGTAGGAGGCGAAGGATAAAGGAAAAGTCGCAGGACTAAGACGGTAACGACGACGACGTTGTCGAGACGATGACGAGAGCGAGTGCGAAGACAACGACGAGGGCGAGGCCGACGGCGACACGACAACGACAACGGCGACAACAACGACGACGAGACGACGACGCAGACGACGACGACGACGACGACGACGGCGGATCCTGCCCGGTTGCACGCGCGCAGCAGCATGGTGTAGCACACCAGGTCCCTGAGGCCGCGCGGTGAGAGCGCCCGCCCTATGGTCATCGCGCTACCATACGGTACGCCGAAGAAGGGCCGAAGAGGCTTACCTGGCCGCGGCGAGCCTCGGCCACGAAGGGGCTCCCCTCGAGATGTGGCTCTTCCTTTTTGGGGCGGGAGCCCGGGCTGTCCCGTGCGGCGGGGGGAGGGGGGAGGCGCTGGCCGACAACCTCACCCTTTCGCTCTGGCCAGCCCCACGCATGCCCGCGCGCAACCGTCCCTGCGCAGCCCCTTCGGACCTGCGCAACCGATCCCGGAGGGGAAGAAGGGGGGGTGGACGGGCGGGTCCCATGACCGAGGTTGCGTCTCGCTGGACCCTCAAACAAAGACAGTCCCCTCCTGATCCCGGGGTTTGTGATTATCTCAGCGTTTTGCATGTAGCGAAGTGTGGCCCCGGGAAGGCATTCTCTTCCACCGTCGCCGCCACCGCCACCGCCGCCCGTCGCCGTCGCCGTCGTCGTCGCTGCCGTCGTCGCCGCCATCGTCGGCCACTGCGACGGCACCGCGGACGTCGTCCCGTCGACAACGCCGTTGGCCTCAGCACAGGCTGTCGCGACGTCACCAGAGACTGGCCTCCTATACGTCATCTTCTTCTCGAAGACAGGTCAGTAAGCATGTCACTAGGACACGTAAGAAGGCAGGACAGTTGGCCAGCCAGACAATATGCGAGAAGGTCGGCCCAGTAGGTCAGTAAGACAGTAAGTAGGGCTATATGTCAGTGAGGCCGCACGGTCATTCAGATGAAGAGCTGGACTAAGGATGGAACCAATAGGCCAGCCAAACAATGAGCACTAACGGACTTGACAACAAAGAAACATCTAGGTGCGGAAGAAGGTCAGCAGCGGGTAGGGGTAACCCATGCCTGTTGTGGTTCTGGCCTCGACCCTGGACTATATGATTTGTACTGGCCCTGACACTGGTGCACATTAGAATGCCATGCTCGATAACAACCATATGTTGATAGTCAGGCAATAAAAGGTAGGTCAGCCCGTAGGCCAATAAGGGAGTCGGTAGGTAGGTCGCCAAGGTAGTATTGAAGGTAAGAGATATACATATACTAAAGCTGTATCTTTATGCTAATCAGTAAGTAGGCGGGTCAGATAAAAACAGATGCCAGCCTCTTGGTAGGTCCAGCAGTCAGTACGTCGGTCAGTCGGTAGGCCACTAAAGGCAGCAAGGCTGCCAGTCAATAAGACAGACGAACAGAAGGTCCCTGGGTCAGCAGGCCAGTCGGTCGGTCAGTCTGTTGCTCAGTATGCCAATGGTTCGTAGGCCTGTCACCGGGACACTCTTGGGACACTAAACAAGGCAATTCTGGAGACCATTGCCGGATTGCTTTGGGACAACGCCCGGCCTCTCATGAACGGTGGAAAGGTTCACTCTACGGCTACATGTAATACTACCAGGTCATCGATTGTTCTGTGGCCGCTGGGTTTCGTATACGCAGTCGGAGAACGCCGATCGCAGTATGTCTTGCACCTGCGATGACCCCATCGCGCCGCCTGACATGTACCTCTTTCGCCTAAGGACTCGATTTGCGAATTCTCATTCGAAAGATGTCATGTGCGCAGTCTTCCCCGCGTAAATGATGCACGATAATTCAAGTATGTACCAATTCACCTTAAACAATCTCCTATGCATGGAGTGCCTACCTGTAGATACTCCACATAAACCACACGACGGGTAATGGGGAGCATGGGCGGAGGATGCGTAGAGTCGTCAGGCAAAATTGCGGGAGGTCCTGCTGCTTCTCCTCCTCGCTCTGCTGCCCACTTTCATCTTGCTACGGCTCAGAGGGGGGGAGGACGAGGGGGGAGGAGCAGGAGGATTGCGAAAAGGAACAACACCAACAAACGACAAGCAAGGTGACGGGAAGAGCTGCATCAACAAAAAGAGGACGCGGGGGCATGCTGATGCCGTTCCTCCTCCCACTGTTGCCGCTACTCCTGGGGCAGAGCGTGCGTTTTCACGCGGGGACACGCGCCGTCCTACTGTGCGAAGGACGGCTTACGTGAAGACGAAATTAGGAAGCAATGGAAAAAGAGAGGGCCGTGCGCGGCGGGATGCCTCTTCTGACGCAGCTTGTTTTAATCTCTGATGCACGGCCCAAGGCGGGGGCCAAGGGGCGCGGTAAAAGACCAGGGGGGGGCCATGAGATCCGGCAAGATACCATGGCCCTGGCCATGATATCCAGACCCCCCTCCCAGTCCATCCTTTTCCTCCTCCTCCTCCTCATCTTCCTCCTCCTGGCTCGTGGCGGCGGACCAGGTTCGTCCTCGTCGCCTGCTTCTGGCCTGGCGGCGCAGACTGTCGTGCACCTGGGGCAGAATACTTTCTGCGACCTGCGGCGGAATTCCGAGCACTGACCTCGCCTGGGGGAGGTTGGAGAGGCGGGGGAAGAGCGAACACGACACGACGCTGACCGCGAGCGAAGCAAGGGGCGCAGCGAGAAGGCCGAGGCGTGCGATCGGACAATGTGGCAGGGCCCTCTTCAACATCGGTGATACGAACTGCAAGAATTTGGGGCAAGAGAGGCAGTGGGAGATGGCGTCTTGCTTCGGGCAACCGAAACAACATATTAGTTCCCCACTTTCTTGAAAACAAACACGAACAACCACCGCGCAGGCTCTTCACCACCGCGATGACCCGAGACGGAAGCAACGGCCTGACTGAATTCTGCACTTGTGGCCAGTCGACGGCGGCCGCGGCGGGGAACGAGGCAGGGAAATAAGAGAACAGGCGCCGAAAAAAGGCGAAGCGAACGGCGGAGGGGCGCAACGAAGAGAGCACAGAGGAGGAGACATGAGGCTGGATCTGGAAACAACGCTTGGGATCGGCCTTCGCTTCGGCTGCCCCTTGAATTGCCACTGATCCTACATTCTCCCAATCGGATGATTCTTGAAACCACCGGCAGCTTCGACGAGGGACATGATCAGGGGGGGCCAGGGGGGGCGCCAGAAAGAACGCGAGAGGCCGCCAGCCACGACGCGAAGCAATGGCAACTTCCGTTCGGCACAGGCTCTCATATTTCCGTGAAGCCGGGGCCACTCATCGAACCATCGAACGCGCGGACGGCGCAGCGGATGAGTGGCCAGACTCGCCACAGGTAGGCCCTGGATCTTAGGGCCACCCCAATCCCGAAGATTGAAGGAGGCAGCGCGGCTAAGGCCGCAATGTGCGACAGCAAAGTGGCTGGCCAAAACTGCGCGCTCTCAATGGGGCACATGCGGGGGGGAAGGGGGAACTGGGAAACGTGGCCGAGAGTCGAGGCGGATCTTTGATTATAGAGCTTCGCAGCGGCCCGCGGCGGCGGGCGCGCTCGCGCGGCGGCTGCAGCGCGCGAGAAGTATTCCCGGGCGGATCCCCCCCCCCCCACCCCACCGCTGGTTCGCAACATCTGGGCCGAGCTTAAACCCGAGATGCGTGAGATGAGGTGCGATGCTGGACTAAGCCCAACTGGGCAACTCACGTTCGAGCCAAGCCTGCGCGCGAGCCTGCTGTTCGGGCGCGAACTCGCTGCAGAGAGGGGCTGCAAAACACTTCGTTATCTCCAGGCGCAGTCTAGCAGCACTCTCGTCGGCGGCGACTGCACTATGTAATGCGTGCAGCCGTGTCATGTCGTGGATGGCCGCTCCTGCATCATCAGCGCACCGTCGCAAAAATACCTCGGTTCTCACAGATGCTTTCACGGCGGAAGTGGGCGTTGCGAGGCTGGGACGCAAGGGTATAGAGCGCCCCCGCAGCGGGGCCACCCCTGAACGGCGCCAGACCCGATGAAGAAAATACGGCGGAGGAGGGCGCCCGCCTAGGCAAAGCAGCACACAGCTCGATATACAAACCCACGCAAGAGGAGCAGAGCGGGATGGGGGGGTACACGAGAGGAGGACGAGGTATTCAGGCGCGGGCGACCGATGGAAACGCTCGACCAAATCGAAGGCGAGAAGGGGGGGGCGGCGCTCACGTGCTCGGGTTCGAGCTCCGACGCGCGGACGCATGCGTCGAGTTCGCGCGCGTTGCGCCCGAGGTTGCGAGACGGGATGAAACTGCGCCGCGTGGGATCGACGCGCTGAAAGAGCGCCCTCGCGAGCCCGCGCGCGCAGACAGCTACGATCGCTTCGCAATCTGCATTATTAAGGCCGGGCGGGCGCGCCGCGGCGGGCGCGCGCGCGGGGCCGGCCGCGTCGGGCCCAGGGGCAAGAGGAAGTCGCCGTCGAAGACGCTTAGCTGCGTCGCATTCAAGAGAGGGCTCGATGTAGGAGAGGCCGGCATCGCCCATCAACTTCCGGCCATATTTCTCAGCCGCGGCAGCATCTATGGGCCCGGTCGCAACCGCTGCCCCCCAGTGCGAAGCCAAACCATTTAGCATCGGCGCGGGGTCGCGAGTGGCGGCCCCGTCGGGGGCGGGAGGCCCGGCAAGGCTCAGCTTGCTGCCTTATGGCCGCCAAAGGTTTCCACGGCGTTCGAGGCTGCGCAGCCATCTCGCACGCTTGGCTCTCGCGCGGGCTGGGGGGCCCTCGCCGAGCTGATGATTGGCCCGCTTCTGCGCGTCCGCGATCGCGCGCGCGCGGATGTCATGCGAGAGCCGCGCGAACCGAACTGGCTCCTTCAGCAAGGCTGAGGCGTCGAAAATCGGCAGCGCTGAGCGTTCGCGAGCGATGGGGCGGGCGAGGACGAGGTGGTCGAGAAGGGTGCGATCCTGTTGCCAGAGGGCTCTGGCGATCGAACGGCAGACAGCGCGCTGAGCGAGCGGGTCGAGGGGGCGCTTCGCCGCGATCGCGTCTCCAGCATGTCCGGCTGAGTCTTTCATCGCCGCCTTATGGGAGTCGAGCAGCCACGGCGCAGACAGGCGCGAACACTCGTTAGCGCACGAGGCCAGCATCTTCGAAACGAAATCGGCGTACTCTGGGGAGCCAAACAGATCGCGGCGCGACGGCCTGTCCTCGGGGGGAAGAGCACGGCGGGGAGAGACAAGTATCATGAGAGCGGCGTGGTCCGAAATCTTGGCACGGTTGAGGATCTCGGGTAGGTCGTGCGCGCGTGACCGAGCTTAACTAAGTCAGGCCCCTCCCTGGCCAGGATGCAAAGGCGCGATCGAAGCGGCCGAGCATCCCGCGGGCGGCATCATAGTGCGTGAATTCGTCGCCCTCAAGCTCCACCAGGACTTCAACGCGCTTTCCGACGCCGCGTTGGAGGTCCTTCGGAGGCCCTGTGAGGCCCGTGGAGACCGTCGGCTGGAAGCTTCGGGCTCTCGATGGGGATTCAGGTTCGCAATGATTGAGCTTGACTGGCGGGCTGCAGTCTTTGTTGAAGTCCCCGTGAACGACTGCCCACATGCGTGGAGGATCATGTTCAGCATCCTGGAGGTCTCCCTGGATACGCCTTAGGACCCGATCTCGACCAGCCGCAGACAGCCCATGGTTGTGGACTTTGTAGTGAACCAAGGAGACGTCGTCCTGGAAACAAAACTGCATCCGAAGGACCCTTCCAACAACTAGTGCATCTTCCGAGACAACAGGAGTGCGGGGACGATGAAGAGCAGCGAAGTTGTGGCGAGAGGTGATAACACCATCAGCTGGATGACCAGGTTCGGAGGGGCAGAATGACGAAACTGCTGAAACAGGGCAATGTACGTTACACAGATAATCTCGGGCCCGAAATGCATCTCCGTGAGACTCCTGGATGGCCGCTATCGAGCTGGGCGAGGTCAGCTTGAATAGGCAACGTACCTTGCAACCCTCAGCGGCAAGGTAGGGCGAAGCAACACACGCGTATTTCATGTCGCACATGCAAGCGCACGCGATGGTGACAGTGATCCACGCCACTGCCGAAAGGAAAACCATATAAAAAAGGCTCCACTCCGTCTGCTGTGTGTTCGCATGGTGCTGCTGGATAACCCCTGCGACGCGGTCCTTGTCCATCCCGGGCCCACGGATGTTGGCGGGCGCCCACTCGACCATGTAGTCAGCGTCGGCGCTGGGGGCGACACGGAGCAGCGGCTTCCAACGTGGGTGGTCTCTCCACGGGCTTTGTTGGCGAAGAGGTCCGCATTCGGGCACAGTTCGCTGATCGCGCGGCGCAACTGCTAGAGGAGCAAGTCGACCTTGACCTGCTACAAGGACTTGTCAGCAGACACGTGGGCTTCCGCTTCGTTGGTGGAAGCATCACGTCCACTGAAACGGCGCCAACTGTTCGGGCCGTTCTTGAGCTGGGAAAGGCACTGGCCAGCTTTGCGGGCGGCATAGCCAACAGCGGCCTTGAACTGGAGCGTGATCGTCTTCGACGCAGGCTCTCCGATGAAATCGAAGATCTCGTTGCTGCAGTTCGCGGCGGCCAGCCACTCTCGCAGCCCGTGCAGGACGCTCGCCCGAGGAAGCATGGACTTCGACCTGCACGTGATGATGGTGGGGTCGCTCTCGCGCTGAAGCGGAAAGTTGACTTCAGCCTTTGTCGGAGTCTTGGCGCGCGCGGAGCAGCGGCAGGGGAGCCAGGGAGGGGTACGCCGGCACGTGGGGCAGCTCGTTGGCATGGTAGTGGGCCAGGCGCGGGAGCTGCAGCGCGTGTGGTGACCTCCTGGGACGGGGAGGTGGCGATGATATCGTAGCTACCCTCTATCCTCCGGACACAGACGAGCAGTAGCAGCTTCTTCAGCTGCAGCACGGAGCGGCGAGCGAGATGTGCCCTCATCTCTGGCCATTGCGGGAGTGCCTCGTTGGTGGTACGGATAAGATAAAAAGAAAATTCCGACGCAGACGCCGTGATGGAACGGGAAAAGAAAACCCACGGTCGCACGAGGGCTCACCGTGAGGATCGGACGTAAGATACGCCTGCTGTGGACGGCCCGCCTCGAGCCAGCCCCTCGGCTGCTGGCAAGAAAGAAGCCGCAGGGCCACGGTTTCGTACTTGAGCCAAAACGGCTGCGGTCCTCCTCCTCCACATCCTCCTGCGCCTCCTCCCCCTCCTCTTCCCTCCTCCTCCCCCTCCTCTTCCTCCTCCTCCGCCTCCTCCTCCTCCTCGTCCTCCTCCTCCCCCTCCCCCTCCTTGCCCTCCTCCTCCTCATCATCAGCATCATCACAAGCATCATCATCAGCATCATCAGCAGCATCAGCATCAGCATCCAGCATCAGCATCAGCATCAGCATCATCATCATCACCATCAGCATCATCATCATCATCATCATCATCATCATCATCATCGTCGTCGTCGTCGTCGTCATCTCATCATCATCATCATCATCATCATCATCATCATCATCATCATCATCATCATCATCATCATCATCATCATCATCATCATCATCATCATCATCATCATCGTCGTCGTCGTCGTCATCATCATCATCATCATCATCATCATCAGCATCAGCATCATCATCATCATCATCATCATCATCATGATCATCATCATCATCATCATCATCATCCTCATCCTCATCCTCATCATCATCATCATCATCAGCATCAGCATCAGCATCAGCCTCATCCTCCTCCTCATCATCATCATCATCATCATCATCATCATCATCATCATCATCATCATCATCGTCAGCATCATCATCATCATCATCATCATCATCATCAGCAGCAACATCAGGATCATCCTCATCCTCATCCTGATCGTCCTCATCCTCATGATCATCCTCATCCTCTTCCTTCTCCTTTTTGCGTTGATCGGAGTTCAATCCACATATATATATAAGAGAGAGAGAGAGAGAGAGAGAGAGAGAGCGTGATCCACCGCCGCTTTACCGTGGAAAATTCCCCCCCCCCCTTCCTACGGAACCTAGGGCCCCCTCCCTCCTAAAATCCCCCCCCTGCTGGACCCCCCCCCCTCCCCTCCCCGCCTCGAAAACTGGGGGGGGTCACTACCGGTTCGAACCCCCCCCCTTGAAAACCGGAGTGGGGTCACTACCGGTTCGAACCCCTCCCCCCCCACCCCCTCACCGCCAGCAAACGACTCCCGGTCCCTACCATCGTCCGCACCACATCCCCCACTGTTGTTCCCAGCACCAGTCCTCACCACCACTGTCCCCACTGGTTCCACCACCGTCCCTACTGTCCCCACCAGTGCCCCCACCACTGTCGCACTGTCCCCAGTCCCCACCACTGTTCCCACCACGGTTCAACTCTCCCCACTTTCTCCACGGCCCCAACCACTGCCCGACTATCCCCACTGTCCCCACTGTCCCACTGACTCCTCCGCTGTCCCACACTGTCCCCACTGTCCCCACCACTGTCCCCACTGTACCTCTGTCCCATTGTCCCACCGCCGTCCTCGCCACCGCCTTCACCACTGTCCCCACCACCACTGTGCCCTCCACTGTCCCACTGTTTCCACCACATTCCCACTGTCCCCCACCACTGTCCCCACCGTCCCCACCACTGTCCCACTGTCCCCACTGTTCCCGCCATTGTCCTCACCACTGTCCCCACCACTACCGTCCCCACCACTGTCCCACTGTCCCCACCACTGTCCCGCTGTCCCCTCACCACTGTCCCCACCACCACCGCCCCCACCACCGTCCGCAACCCCCCCCGGTTTTCGAGGGGGGGGGAGGGGGGGTTCGAACCGGTAGTGACCCCCCCCGGTTTTCGAGGGGGGGGGGTTCGAACCAGTAGTGACCCCCCCCCCTTTTCATGATGGACTGGGGGTGGGGGGGCGAAGGGGTTCGAACCGGTAGTGCCCCCCCCCCGATTTTCTGGAGCTCCGGGTTCGAACCGGTAGTGACCCCCCCCGGTTTTCCGCCAGCAGCGGTAGAACACGCTTTTTTACACATATATTGAATCCTCCTCCTCCTCCTCCTCCTCCTCCTCCTCCTCCTCCTCCTCCGCTCCGTCTCCTTCCTCCTCCGCCGTGGCCAGCTTCCTGAGGAGGGGTCCCTCCGCGGCTCCCGCGAAGCTTGCTCAATCGCGCATCGCTGCAGCCTGGCAGCGCAGCTTCCCCAAGTGCTGTGGATATCCAGCACCATCAATCATCACCCCTCTCTTGACCGCCCCCGAATCCGCTGGAACTCTCGAACCTTTACCTGGGATGGTCTTCTTCATCTCCCGGGAAACTCTGACGCTAGCAAACAGCTGGCTGCTCAGATGTTCGTGAAGTCGCTGGAGGTCTGGGTCTTCAGAGGAACCTTGAAAGGCCTCCAGAGGTTCCTGGATGCCACCAGAGTTGCTGGGAAGCCTGAACTACCGAAGCCCAGAAGTGGGCAAAAACACTCCGAGGACGACGACGACGACAACGACGGGGATGGGAAGGAGGAAGAGGAGGGGCATGGGAGGCAGAAGAGAAAGTAGAGGTTGCGGAGGGAAAGGACGGGAGGAGGATGACGGGGGGGGGGGACGGGGTGAGGGAGGGAAGAGAGGAGTAGAAAGATGACGACGGGGAGGATGAAGATGAGGAGACGGAACCAGAAAAAGAGGGGGAGGGGGGAAAGAGGGCAAGGATGGAATAGAGGAGGCTCGCCTTTCCACGCCCGCATCATCCATGCGGCGCAGCCACACCTCCAGCTGCTCGAGGTCGCCGGCCTGCACTGGCCCTTACCCCCCAGCCCCAGGAGAGAGGGAGGGAGGGAGGGAGTAAAGAAGGGAGGGAGAGAGGGAGGGAGTAAAGGAGGGAGTGAGGGAGGGAGGGAGGGAGGGAGGAGGAGGAGGCCCCCCCTGCGAGGCGGTATGGAGGGAGAGAGGAGCCGGACGAGGAGAAGGTGGAGGAGGAGGGGAAGAGAGGAGGAGAACGGAGGGAGGAGCTGGCGGGAACGGCGGAAGCGGTGCGCGCACGCGCAGCGTCGGCAGCCCGACCCGAGGGAGGCCGCGGGCCAGTCCCTGGCCAGCCCTTGGGGGCGCTGGCGCCAGCTACGTCGAGGCCCGCGTTCCGCCGGAGACTTCCTCACCATGTATGGCCCTCAAGCCTGAAACGTCCAGTAGTTCCACGGGTGAGCGGCGTCTGGATTGCACGAAACTTCAAGCACTTGCAGGGATGGAGGGCGGCCGTTTTCAAGACGGGGATATCTCCTGCCCCGCCACCGTGCTCCATGGCACATTTTGAGGCGTGGAGAATGCCAAGTGCTACCTGGCAGGGCTTCTGAAATCCTCCAAGGACCCCCGCTCCCTCTCCAGGCACCCACCTGCTTCCTGTCCCTCTCCAGGCGTCCAAGATATCCTAGATGACCTCTAAAGCGACCCAGGCACGCCACCAAGGCCGCGAAGGTGGTCCAACATTCCCTCCAGACGCACCACAAAGGCCTTCACAAGCGCACAATGTTTTCCAAGAGACGTCCAAGCACCCCAAGGCCTCCCAAGAGGCTCTCCAGGAAGATCCAGATATGCCCCCAATCAACTCTCCGCTGACCCTGTCGGCGTGTGTGAGGGGCTTTTCCGTTTGAGTCGTCGTCGTCGTCGTTGTTGCCATCACCGCTCCCCCGTGTCCGTCCCTTGGGCCCTCCTCTTCACATGTCATAGCCAAAGAGAAATCGAGCGACGTCGTAATCAAATCGAAGGGAAGCCCCTTCCCTTTGATCCCTTCCACGCCGGGGGGGAGGGATTCAGGGGGTTGTGATCCCGCCCCACCTCGTGGGGGAGCACAACTCCCTGGGAGAAGCTTTCCCATTAGATTCTCTGCCTCCCAGAAGCCTCGGGCTCCCCCTTCAGGGTAGGCGGCACTGGCCGCACGGCCTTCACACTATTGTGTTTCAAACGTTTTTCGCTTCCCACGCTCTTCGGACAGAGATCGGTCACATCGCAACATTTGGAAGCCCAAAGGAGCTCACTTAGAGGCCCAAGAAGGCCCTTTAGACCGTTCAGGACAGCCCCAAGAGAGCTCCAACCAGGTCCCAGCGGGCCTGCGGAGGTAGCCAAGACGGCCCAGGAGAGCCCCTAGACGGCCCAAGATTGCCCAAGGACTGCCTCACCACGGCCCCAAAGAAGCCACCAAACAGCCAAGAGAGCCCAATAGACCGGCGCCCCAAGACAGCCCCAAAACGGCCTGGCCGCACGAGAGCTCACGAAGAGGTGGTGACGATAGGTGTCACATGTGCCGACCTTCTGGGCGGTACTCGACGGCTCGCCACACAGTCCAACAGCTATACGAATGAAGATGGTTCCTTAAAAAACGGGGCTCTCGGATGGGACTTCTGCAAATGTTATTACCAGACGTACCGAATGCTTGACACAATTCCGCGGATGGAGGGCGGATACTTTGCAAAACGAAGCCCTCGCATGGATGGCAAGCCCATGGGCTTCTCGGTTTCAAGGCGGGGTTTCCGGAGTGAAGAGGAACGCGTGCAGGGACATCTCCTGAGGAGCCGTGGGACGGCAGGGTGCGTTGCAATATCGCTCTCCCCCCACGTCCGCCCCGCTCGTGTCGTCCCTTCGTGTGTCGTCTTCTGCACTCTTGCCGCAGGGCTCCTTTTGCGCTTGCAAAGTTGCAACATCGCTGATGCACCTTGAATCTACTCTGGTCATCCTCCTCCTCCTCTTCCACCTCCCCTTCCTCCTCCTACTACCCCTCCTCCTCCGACGACGAGTCCTCCTCTTCCGAAGGTCTTCGACGACTGTCGTCCGAGAAGGCCCAGGGACCTCCGTCGGAGCCCCCGCCCCGCGGCCTTGGCCAGCGGGTCCAGAACTGCGCTGTAGCTGGTGACGGTGGGGCTCACGCCTGGGGGGGGCGTCGGGGCGGGCAGCCACGGCCGTGCACCTGCCAGAAGAGAGAAGGAGGCCCCGAACTCCATGAACTCAGTAGGGTGAGTAGCGCATGGCGCAGCGTTGCGTACAGCGTGGAGGACAAATGGTGTACCACTGGTTGGTTGCGGCGGGCCTATGGTGCCCACCAACGGTTGTCGAAAGGCCTGCGTATGGTGCCCTACTGTGACCACTCCTTCCTGTCCACAGGGGCTTCGCACCTCCCCTGATGGTGGGAAGGGGGTGGCCGTCTCCGAGATCGCCGCCTCTGCGGGCAGTTCGGAACCAACTCCCGTCGCGGATAAACGCCACGCGCCGAATCCGAGTTCTGGCCAAAATACACCCCGGGAGAAGTCCGAGGGCCGATTTTGATGGAGGAAGGCCCACAAGTCCAGCGAACTGCTGTTGACAGATTGTTGTTGTTGGTTTGTTGTGTTCTGTGTGCTGTGTGCTGTGTGCTGGTGAACAGTAAGCTGCGTAATGTATGCTGTGTGCTGTGTGTTGTGTGCCGTGGTTGTGTTATATGTGGTGTGTGTGTGTGTGTTGTGTGTCCTGTGTGTTGTTAATATGGGGTTTTTGCTTGACACCCCATCACCTGTTGTAGCCAGAAACTTTTCATCACGCAACTGCTGCATGGATAGGCTGGCTCATTGTCTGATGTGGATTTTGCTTGATACGCTCTCACTTTGCATGGCTAGCGGAAAATCAAGACTCTGGATCAACTACGCGGGCGCAAGGCGGTTCTTACTCAGAACAAAGCTCTCGCTGAACACTTCCTTAACATGAGTGACCCTCGCTCGTGACATTCATTATCCACCATCGTGCAATCGGCACCGAATGGATTGCCCTCGGGCACATTGGTACGCACGCCTTGAGGAACCCAGGGCCCGGATGTCCAGGCGCTTCCAAACGCTCCTTGGGTTTGTGGCGCGACCGTTCTGGAGGCCTCGGGGGCGCGGCTGGGATTCCACGCGTCCGACGCGGTTCATGTTGCCCCCAAGGCATTGCATGGATAAGCCCTCTTGGGCCCCTCTTGGAAGCTCTGGGAGCCGCCACAAGGGGCCTAGCTCCTTGCAAAATTATGTGTCTCAATGATGTTCCCCTTCTCCTCGCCGTTACGGTTTCAACGGCGCCGAAGACGGCCCAATAGTCCCCCGGAGTCGCCCCAAGTCGGGGTCCAAACACTGAAAATCACCACGGCAGTCGGTCACCATAAATTCGGCTGGCGGCCTCGTGCGAGACGAAGGGCAACGCGGCAGACGCGCTGCCAGGCGCGCGATCTGGGACGCTCCAACACACGCCCCATCGCCACCGCGCAGAGCGCCAACCGAAACCAGGAAATAGGGCTGGGGAGGCGGGTGAAAAAAAAAATCGTTCGCCCACTGTCGCCGCGATTACCTTGTCCAGGCAATCCACGGCGACCTGTGGACGTTGGCTCGCCTTCTGGCATGCTGGCGACCGACCCCCGTCGTGGGTCTGCGCCGAATCGCGCGGGTCTGCCCTGTCCAGGCAAGGTCCCGCCCCGTGTCCAGGGACTGCGGCTGCCGTGTCGGTTTGCCTTACCCAGGCAGGGGCCTGTTCATCACCCACTGCGGCTGACTTGGGTTTGCCTTGTCCAGACAGGGGCCCGCTGTCTGGCGAGAGGCCGAGCGTCTGCCGCGCGCGAGTTCGCCTTGCCCGGGCTGGGGCCCGTTCCTCGTCCAGGAACTGCGGCTGAATGCGCGGGCTTGCCTTGTCCTGGCAAGGGCCCGCCCCCTATCGGGGGGCCGAGCATTGCCCCGTGGGATTGTCTTGTCCATGCAGGGGCCGGGAACTGCAGCTCCTTGGGCTTGCCTTGCGAGGCAGGGGACCGCCCCCTATCGGGGGGCTGGGCGCAGGCGCGAGCGCCCAGTAGACAAGGACCGTTTGCCCTTGGTTCCCGGGCGCCCCCCGTCGGGGGGCCGAGCGAAGGCGCGAGCGCCTGGCGCGCGAGGACTGTTTGCCCTTGGCCATCCTGGCCGGCGGCGGCAATGCGACGGCGGCAACATGGAGGCGGCGGCGGCAAAGCGGCGCGGCGCAGCGGGGGAAGGCGGAGAGGCCGCAAGCCCACGCTCGCGGGCAGAAGGCGAATAAGCAGAACAGGCGAGGGCCCAGGAGCCCGCGCCTCGCGATTTCCTGCGACATGAAAAAGGCTATGAAAATCGCCGCGGAAGACGGTCGCCATGAGTTCGGCCGGTGCCCTCGCGCGAGACGAAAGGCAACGCGGCAGACGCGCTGCTTGGCGGGAACCCGGGGGCGGCCCAACGCACCCCTATGCCCCGAGATGCGCGCGCGCGCAACCGCGTCTGCCTCTCCCAGGTTACCCGGGCGGCGTCAAGAACCATCCGAGACGAAGGGGCGGCGGCATGCGGCAGCAGACAATAACAAAACAAATCGCGCAACACTTTTTCGGGCAGTGCCCGAAGCGCGCGATCGCCCATCAAGTCTGCGGCACGTCGCTCGACTCGGAGCAGCTGATGAACAGCTCCGCGGCAGCCGCGGCGCCGCGGCTCTGAACGCTCGCGTGGCCGACCGCTGCCACCCCGCACTGGCCGCCGCTGGAAAAGGAAGCCGCCGGCGCGCCGTCTCGCTACGCTTCGTCTTCGAAACCTCGGCGGAAAGCGCGCCCCCCGCGCGTCGGGCGCGCGGGGGCCTAGCGCAGCGGCGCCCATCTTAAGCGCGGCCAGCCCTTCAGCGCATCGCGCATCTTCGAAGGGCCCGGCGCGCCCCCGCGCCGAACGGGCTAAGGGGCGCATTCCACGCGCCGTTTTGCCATGGTGCTCACAGATGCACGCGCGCGCGACGCTGACTGGCCCGTTGAAGCATTTCTTACGCAGGATAATTATTTCGCGCTCTCTGCGGCCAACCAGCGAGAACGAGAGTGTCACCGCCTCGCTTCCAAGTTCAGCGAAGCGAAAGCAAAATTGCCCCGGGATCGCCCACGATGCCGCGGGCAACGGAAATCCGGTCGCTTTCGCCCACTCGCGGAGCTGCCGCGCCTCGGCGCTTGCGGCCCGCATCTTGGCCCAACGAGTAGAAGCAGGAGTGGGTTTGTCAGCGCACCTCATCAGCCGCTCCGCGTCCTCCTGACTCCCGGGGGGGATGTCCAACCGCCGGCAAACGCTCCGGACGCGCGACGCGCGCCTATGCAGCGACGACCCGTTCCTGAAGAAGCGGACGAAACCGTGAAGCACGGCGGGCGAAGGGGGCCAGCGCTCCCTGCCAGCTGCAGCCGCTGCTCCGCCCCAGAGGCGACATGCCGAAGCGCGCTGCGGGGCGCTCTTCCGCCACTCAGAGAACTCGCACTACGCTGAGTGCTGCTCGTGTTCGACGGACGACATGCCCGCGTGGCGGGCTCTGTTTGCTTCGACCATGGACCCGTTCGCGGCCGCGCTCTCCGGAAAAGAATCCAGACGCCCCAGCGCGGCGATCGCAGCTGCCAAATCCTGGGGCGCGGGCCCTGCGCGAGCACCCCGGGCGCTGCGCAGCAACTGCAGCGCCTGCGCGCCAGCGCGCGCGCGGGCGCCCGCCGCAGGCGTAGCCACGCGGCCGCCTGCTGCGGGGGGGGCCGTTGCTAGTTGTTCTCTGTTGCTCGCGGTAGGTTTCGCGGGGCGCGCCTGCCTCACCGATTTTGCGCCGGTTCAGTTGCGACGGTGCCCCAGCGGCTGCTCCGCGAGAGCCGCCGCGCAGGCTGCGAGTGGCGGAGCGATGCTCTGCGCCCCGGTCGCCGCCAAACCGCCCGGGCCACGCGGCGTCTAGGAACCTGCTCCGGCCAAGGCCGCATTTGAGGCTGCCGCGTCCGCGCCCGCACTGGTCTGCGCAGCCACGGCGGGCGGCGCGGCGGCCAGCGTCGATGCTGGGCCATCGGCGCGCGCAGACGCTTGCGCGGGCCCTGCCGCGCGGCTCTGGTCTGGATTCCGGAGACATCGCCTCGGCGAGCCCGACGAAGCTCCCAGAAGGCGCTTCTGGCGCGACCCGACGCAGACAGGCGACTGGCGGCGCACATTTTATCCCGCGCTCGCAAACTGCGGCCGCCACGCGCCACTTCCTTCGAGCACTCCAGGGCGCGCCTCGCGGGGAAACCCATGGCGCCCAACAAGAACCATTTCAACTATCGCGCGTGGATGTCCCGCCTCGGCGCGTGGCCAAGCGGGGGCGCCGGCCAGGTCTTGGCGCGACGGCGCGCGCCCAATGTGCAACGCGCGGCCGCGCCGCGCAACGGACCGCCCAAGCCCGCCGATTAAATCGCCCCAGTCGCCCCGCCTGGAACGCCCGCGCACGAGGGCCCCAAACGCGCCGGCACGTCCACCAAAGCTGCGACTTCCAGGTCGCCTGACAGCGACTCCACCAAAAACTTGAAGACGCAAGCCGCCGCCACGAGGTGCCACATTCTGTGCTAAACCCACGCCGCAGCACCTGCTGGGACGTCGGCGGCTGCCGGGGCCTCTAAACCGGGGGCGCGGGCGACCCGCGCCGCCCGCCCGCGGCCCGCGGCGCCCGCGCGACGGGCGCAGCGGTTTCGTTCAGAACGCCGCGCCGGCGCGCTTCGGGGCGGCGGTTTCTCACGGGGGGCGCAGCCGCCGCTGCGAGCAAAGATGCGCTCGCCTGGACAGTCCGCGTCGACCGCCTGCCCCGCGATGATAGGCTGTTGCCGGGCGCGCGCGACGCCGCAGCCGAAAACGGCCGTCGCGCCCCAGCTCGACCCCCCTGCCAATTTCTGGGCCTGCGAAGGCGAGAGCGACCGACGCCGCGACGCCTCGCGAACTTCAGCGGGCAATTTTCCCAAACTCTCCTTGCTTCGAAAATGAGATGACATGCTGTCCGGCGTCGTCGAAATGCGCGCCGACGCCGAAAATGATTGGACTTGTGCTCCGGGTTGCCGCCGCGTCGGCGTCGAACTCCCAGCCGAGCAAATCGGGCACTGCGACCCTGGCCAGGCGCGCCGTGCCCCTAGGCCCCGCAGAAATATCACCGCCCTGCGACGACGTCTCCACTGTCGGGTCGCCAGCGGATATGTCGTCGACAAAGCCCAAGCACACTAGGCAGAACAATGCCGCCAATATGCCCTGCGCTGCCAGGCCGAAACAACCCTGGCCAGAGACCGAGGCGGGCGCCCCGCAAGGCAAGCACAACAATTGCAGCGCCCGGTTGTTCTCCGCGCTTCCCCGCCACGCTGCGACTGCGAGCGGGAAGTGGCTGCTGCAGATTAGCGGAAGTCCTGATGACGTGCTTGAATGCGCATGTCCCTTTTCCCCGCCGGATCGCAGCGCTCTGCCCGCCCTGCGTCGCCAGGTGCACCACGGCCGCCAGACCGTCTGAAGCGTCGGGCAAAGCCTTCTCGCCGCGCGCGACAGCGCTGCGCGCCAGCGAGGCAGCGACGACGCCAATGCGTCGAATTTTAAGCACCGAGCCGCGAAGCGCGCGCCCCATTTCTAGGGCGATCGGAAAGCGCGCGGCCATCGCGCGCGAATCTAAGTTGAGCCTTCGAAAACTGGCTTTTCGATCTTCGACATCTGCGGCGCAACTGCAGAGAAATTGCGCGCGAGCTTGGGCGTCGCCGCTGCGCTGCGCGGCGATTCTGCCGAGCCGGTTCCAGAGTGGCGCTTGCGACCGCGTGGGTGACACTAGCAAGCAGTCTTGCCAATGGGAAACAAATCCTGGTCGGGCCAGTCTACAGCATCTATATTTTCCTTCAACGGCCGAAGATTCCCCCCCGGCCCCTGCGCCGATTGACGGCGCGCTGCAGAACTCTTCCAGAACAAATTGCCATCGGGGGTCGGTCACCCGCCTCCGTCGTCGCCAGAACTCCAATGCAGGATTTCGGGCGGCTCGCAGATTCGCAGCCGACATTTTCGCCAGTCGCCCGAAAGAGCTCTTTGGGAGCGATGGCGCGGACGGCGCGCCACTCGCCACCAGCAGGCGGAGCGACCGCTGCTGGCGGGCCCCCGGGCCGAGGCGAAACAAATCATCACGCGCCTTAGAGACTCGAGCTTCTGCTTGGATAGCCCCGGGGGGGGCCTCAAAAGAGCGCGGCGACGGCCTTGAACTTGCGCCTGTTGCAGAAGCGCTGCGCGGGCGTACATCTGCAGACTCTGATTTCGCAGAGTCGTCGGCGGTGGTCGACGTTCAGCGGTGGCCCCGCCAATCTTCCTGGCCCATGCGCGGCGGGCTCTAGGGCCGCGCCCCCTGCCGCGCGTCCGCTTGGACAGGCGAGGCGGGGCGCCGGCCCGCGTCCTCGCTCGACTTCCAACCGGTCTTGCCCTTCCCGGCCTCGCCCCAGATGTCGCCGCCCTGGCTGGGTGGCGAGCCAGACGGCGGCGCTGTCCGCGAGGGCGGTTCACCGCTTCCCTCTGGTGCCTGTTTCTCCAAAACCTTGCCCACTCCTGAGCGTTTCTTCTCGACCATGCCTTTGCCCCCCTGGGCCGCGACGCGATCGATATCCCCTCGACATCTCGAGACGCCCTGCTCTCCGACCTTCGGCGTCTTTGCCGCGGCAGCGCGACTCAGGACATCGCACGGGCGTTCAGCGCGCGCGCCGCCTCTCGCTTCAGCGACCTCGGTCAAGTCAAAATGCGCGCGCGCAGGCCAGGGCGCAGCCCTTCGAGAGAATGACCTTCGCGCGCCACACTTGGAGGTGACCCAAGAAAGAAGCGAACCTTGGACAATCCATCTTGCCCGCTATCGCCCGCTCTTTCGTGGTAGCGAAGGCGTGCTCGACGCGGTCGTCGCGCGACCCTCGCGACGGCGTCGACAACTGGTGCCCGACTCCACCTGGGTCTGTGGTGGACGCGCAAATCCCCCCCCTGCAGTCCACGACCGACCCCCGTCGCGGGCGATCTCCCCCGCTGCCTCGAAGCGGCCCCAGTGCATCTTCTGTGGGAAGAGTGGTTTTGGGCAAGCCCTGCATACCAAGCTCATTAACGCGGTCTTTCAGATTGACGGTCAGTCCCTTCGGCTGCCCCTTCTTCAAGGCCGCCGCCTGCGCTTCGGCGAAATCTTCGGGTGCTCCAGCAACGTTGCTGAGGCCAGGATCTGACCCCTGCGAGCCTCCAGGCCCGCAGCCGCTGACCTGCCCCTTACACTTTACCTGCGCCTTGGACGCGAAAACCACCTGGGCGGGGGGCGCCTTCCACGTCTTCCACGGTTCCTGCTTCTCGCTGGCGCAAGGAACCGCGTCGGCCTTGATGCGCGAGATGATCATATCGCACTCGCGAACGCCCCCCAGGTCTGAGGGGCACCGCGGTGCCGACGGTCTCCGCCAGGAGCCTGGCCATCGAGATGTAGTGGAAGACGGGATGTTTTTCTTTTGCCTTGGGATCGACTCCCAAGACGAAAGCGACCCATGCGCGTACGGCTTGCGTCTCGGCGCGGTCGAACGCTCCCGGCGGGAGAAAGCCGATCACCCTGGTGATCTCGGACTCGCTGAAGGACATCGCTTCGGAAACTAATCTGCCGGTACAGATGCGCAAGGAAACGCAAAGCACCTCAGCAACGTCCACTGTCCACTGGGCGCTCACCGTCGGGGAGCCGAGCGAGGGCGCGAGCGCCTGGTGCGCGAGGACTGTTTGCCCTTGGCTCTCCTGGGCGGCGGCAGCAAAGCAGCGGCGGCAGCAAACCGGCGGCGGCGGCACAGCGGCGGCGGCACAGCGGAGGAAGACGAGGAGGCCCACCCCGATGATAACAACGCCGACGATGACGAAGAGGACGACGACGACTTCGACTCCCACGACGACGACGACGGCGACACCGACGACGACGAAGAAAACGACCAGTACTGACGACAACGACTGCACCACGACAGCACTGACGACAGCACCACGACAGTACTGGCGACAGCAATGACAATCACCATCGCCACTGTCATCGCCATTACCATGTTAATGATCTCGTCATCGCTTGAAGTCATCGTCGTCGTGGTCGTCGTCGGCGCGATCGTCGTAGCGGCCGTCTTCGTCGTAGGTGCCGTCGTCGACGGTGTCACCGGAATTGGTGTCTGCCTCCGTTTCGTCGTCGGTGTCGCCGTCATCGTAGTCGTCGTTGGTGCCGTCGTCATCGGTGTAGTCGTCGGTCTCATCGTCGGCGTCGTCGTCGTAGTCGTCGTCGCCCTGATCGTCGTCGTTTTCGTCGCTGGTGTCGTCGTCGTACTTCGTCGGTGTCGCCACCGTTATCGACGATATCGTTGGTGTCGTTGTAGTCGTCGTTGTCTCCACCGTCGTTGTCAACGTCGTCGTAGTCGTCGTCATCGTCGTCGTCGTCGATGTCGTTGTCGTCGTTGTCGTCGTCGCTGTTGTCTGCGTCGTCGGCGTGCTTATAGTCGTCGTCGTCGTCGCAATCGTCGCCGTCCTCGCCGTCGTTGTCAGTGGCGTCGTCGTCAGCGTCGTCGTCGTCGGTGTTATCGCCATCGTCGGTGTCGTCGGCGTCGTCATCGGTGTCGTCGTCGTCGTCGTCGTCGTCGTTGTTGTCGTCGTCGTTTCGTTGCAGTCGTAGTCGATGTCGACGTCGTCGTCACCGGCGTGGCCGTCGTCGCCGTCGTCTTACGCTCCTCTGTCGCTCCGACGCTTTCGCAAGAGAACCGCATGTTTGTAGAAACGCAAGAGGAAGGAACATGGGACGGGAGGCTCGAGGCATCGTTGACGCATCCTGGGATGCCTCTGCTCCTCCTCCTTTTCCTCCTCTTCCTCCTTCATCCCCTCCTCCTTCATCCCCTCCTCCTCCCCATCCCCATCCTCCGCGTTTCTTCCTCAACGCTGCGGCGCGCAATATACCCACCAGCCCTTTGGGCGACAGGTGGTCTAAGGAGGGCCCACTTCCTCTTCCAAACCCATTCTTTCCCTCTGGGGAGGGGTTTATCACTGTTCCCTATTGATGAACACCCCCTCCCCCGCCCGGCCGGCGGCCAACCCGCAACAATGCCAGCCCCCCCCCATCCCTGTCAAAAAAATACAAAACACACTCTGCCTCCACATTCAGAGCATGCGCGGCCGCCCCGCGACCACGTTGTATTGATATTTCACAAGGGCGGCCGGGGTGCCGGCAGATCCCGCGTGCCTTCTGGCCGCGGGTGGTCGTCCAGGACGGTTCCACGAGGCTCGCCTGGGCATCCGGGAAGCCCTCAAGAGTGCCCTAAAACCGAAGACTCACCAAAAGAGGAGCAAGAGGATGCGAATAGCTACCTCCCAACACCACCGCAACGTGGCCCGAAGAGGATCCCGAGGGAATACCAGCAGCGCCGGCACCAGCAACAACGGCATTAGCACCAGCAGCCCTAGCAACAGCAGCCGCAGCAGCACCAACGCCAAGCGCAGCAGCAGCAGCAAATATACTGCCACCAGCACCAGCACTAGCAGCAGCACCGGCAGCGACACCAGCAGCATCCATCGTCGTCGTCGTCGTCGCCGTCGCCGTCGCCGTCGCCGTCGCCGTCGCCGTCGCCGTCGCCGTCGCCGTCGACGTCGACGTCGCCGCCGCCGCCGCCGCCGTCGTCGTCGCCGCCGCCGCCGCCATCGCCGTCGCCGTCGCCGTCGCCGTCGCCGTCGCCGCCGCCGCCGCCGTCGTCGTCGCCGCCGCCGCCGCCGTCGCCATCGCCGGCACCGTCGCCGTCGTCGTCGCCGCGTGGCACCCGGGAAGCGCTGCGGGCTCCGAGGCCCGCCCGCCCGGCAGTCGGCGCCCCGCCCGGCTGCTCGTCCCAGCCGCCGTCCACGTGCGGCCGCCGTCCGCGGGCGCGCCCGCCTCTCTTGTCGCACTCGAGCCGTAGCTGGCGGGACTACGATTGTCCCGTCGGGACCTTTGCATGTGTATTTGACAGAGCCTCTTCGGGGGTTCAAACCTTTGGTCACTTGGCCCGGTGTTACTTATGATGTGTTGGGAGGGCGGGTGGGAATAAGCTACACGGCCTGCTCCTTGTAGGAGTCTTGGCCCCTCCCCCTACCACCTCCCGTGGGGGTGGACGGGGGGGTCGCGACGAGTTAGAGGGTCCTTTCTCGGCCCCTGGGAGGGCAAATTTTTGACACCGATTACAAGGATCGTGGCCCCCGAGGGGGGGACCAACATAAAGGAACCCCATTTTTTGATCGCGAACCTCCCAAGATGGCCCCAACAGGCCCTCCAGGACTCCCACGAGGCTGCCAACAGGGCCCAAAAAGCGCCCCAACAAGCCCCAGGAGGCCTCCAAGAGGCACCCGAAAGACCCCCAGGAGGCGCCCGAGCGGTACCAAAAGGCACCAAGACCGCTCCAAGACGGCTCGAGATGGCCACGGAACCACCAAAGCCCCCCTCGCTGTTTGACTACGCGTGTCTCTTCCTCTCTCCCCCCGTCAGCTCTCATGGGCATCGTTTGTGGATGGGTTGGTGGGGATACTTTTTTTGGTCGCGGCCGCAAGCGAAGGCGCAGGCGGCGGGTCGAAACCGAAGCGAAACGTCAAGAATTTCTGCCCCCTCCCCTCCTCCTCGCACCCTGAGCCGCCATGCGCTCGATCCACTCGGCGGCGCGCTGGCTGCTGCCGGTGCTGACCTCGGACCGCGTACCGGCCGAAGCGCGCGCGTGCGCGCGCGCTCGTCGGCCTCGCGAGTTCGGGTGCCGCCGCGACTTCGGCAACTCGGCGAGGTGGTCGTCCTCCTCAATCCTCCTCCTTTTCCTTCTTGTCCTCCTCGCCCTCGCCACCCTCGCACTGAGAGCTATACAGCAAACGTATTTGAAAGATCTGGCCCATAATGCCCCGTCTACTACTACTACTACTACTACTACTACTACTACTACTACTACTACTACTACTACTACTACTACTACTACTACTACTTCTACTACTACTTCTACTACTACTACTACTACTACTACTACTACTACTACTACTACTACTACTACTACTACTACTACTAGTACTACTACTACTACTACTACTACTACTACTACTACTACTACTACTACTACTACTACTACTACTACTACTACTACTACTACTACTACTACTACTACTACTACTACTACTACTACCACTACCACTACTACTACTACTAGAATTTCTACTACTAATACTACTTCTACTACTATACTACTACTACTACTACTACTACTACTACTACTACCACTACTGCTACGACTACGACTACGACTACTACTACTACTACTACTACTACTACTACTACTACTACTACTACTACTACTAGTACTGCTAGTACCACTAGTACTAGTACTACCACTAGTACTAGTACTAGTACTAGTACTAGTACTCGTACTAGTATTAGTACTAGTACTACTACTACTACTACTACTACTACTACTACTACTACTACTGTTTCTACTGAGGCTACTTCTACTACTCCTGCGGTCACGCGTCACCGTCGTGTCTGCTGAGAATGAATGGGTAAGGGTTCGGGTCCGGGTTCGGGCTCGGATTACAGTTTCATTAGAATACAATGAGAATCTAATTCGAATGCAGCGATGCATCAATCAAATACAGATATAATTCAATTAGAAGACAATTAGAATACGACTTACATTTAATGAAAATCCATTGAAAATTTGATTTGAACACAAAAAAAATGCATTTTGACTTTGACTAGACTGCAATTAGAATACAAAGATCATGCAATTAGAACATGAAGATCATACAACACGAAGATGACGCGTGGATTGCAAGTGTTGTTTGGTTTCGTAATAGAGCCCGTTTACACGGAAAACATCACAGTAGTACACAAAGGTGAGGTGTGGCACGCACAACATTGTACGGCGACACGAAAAACAATGGCGCGTGTAATTGCAAGTTCTGCTCGGTTTCTTAATGGGAACTGCACACACGGAATACAATACAATGGTACACGAAGGTGTGACGTGCGGAACGCGCCACAAGGTGCACCGTTTGCCAAAACGGCAATACCGCACGCAATATGAATTCCGATTGAAAGCCGATACATCATTGTGGAATTTTGCTGGAGGCTGGCGCTCGACCATTTCCTATTGAATTCCCACTCGCAAGCCATAAATAAGTAAGGGATCCCATTGGAGGCTGTGACTCGGCAGTTTAAAATTGAATCCCGATTCCAAAAACAAAAACAATGAAGTACTAAGGAATTGTCCTGGAGGCTGTGGCTCGGCCATTCCCTATTGAATGGATATTCGGAAACCTGCGCAATATCAAAGAATTCTGCTGGAAGCTGGGAGTCGGCCGACTCCTATTGAATCCCAAGTCAAAAGCCAATGACTTACTAAGGAATTCAGCTGGAGGCTGAGACTCACCCATTCCCTATTGAATTCCCAATATAAGAACAATGACTAATTCAAGATTTCTGCTGGAGGCTGTGACCCGACGATGTCTTTGAATTCCAGTCGAAAAAATATGCGTTACTCAGGAATCATGCTGGAGGCTTGGGCTCGGCAGTGTCCAATCGAGTCCCCCTTGTAGTTATAGTGATATCTCTCTCTCTCTCTCTCTCTCTCTCTCTCCCTATGTATGTATGTATGTATGTATATATATGTATATATATATATATATATATCGATAATAGATACTAGAAAAATGATAGAAACAACGAACAAACAAAAACACTAAAATTCTGCTGGAGGCTGGGGTTCGGGCAATCCTACTTGAATTCTCATTCAAAAACACATGAATCATCAAGGGATGCTGCAGGAGGCTGGAGTTCAACCATTCTCTAGTGAATTCCTGTCCCAAAAAATGTTCTGGAGATGCTAGAGATGCTGGGGTCGGCAATTCCCCATTGAATTCATATGTGAAAATGAATAAAAGTATTAAAGAATTATGCTGGAGGCTGGGATTCGGCGAGTTGCTAACGAATTCCTATTCGAAACAACAATAGGTTTGATAAATGAATTCTGCTGGAGGCTGGGACTCGATAGTGTCCTATCGAACCCCTACTCAAAAACCAATAAACGAATCAGAAATTATGCTGGAAACCGGGGCTCGACCATTTCCTATGGAATCCCGATTTGGAAAACAAGCACATGGTTCAGGAAGCCCGTTGGAAGCTGGGCCTCGGCCATTTCCTATCGAATTCCGATTCGAAAACCAATTAAGCATTATGGAAGTATGCTGGAGGCTAAGGCTCGGCAGTTGCCCATTAAGTTCCACCAGCCCTCTGGGCGTCGGTGGTTTAGAGCGTTTCCTCTTCCACCCCTCCTTTTTCCCCTTCGGGGAGGGGGTTACCGCGGCGGCGGCGCCGCCGCCGCCGCGGGGGCGGCGGCGGCGGGCAACGTTTTTTTTTTTTTTTTTTTTTTTTTTTTTTTTTTTTTTTTTTGTTTTTTTTTTTTATATATATATTTTTTTTTTTTTTTTTTAAAAAAAAAAAAAAAAAAAAAAAAAAAAAAAAAAAAAAAAAAAAAAAAAAAAAAAAAAAAAAAAAAAAAACAAAAAAAAAAAAAAAAAAAAAATCTCCATTCGTTCCACCAGTGCGATGATATGACATGTGCGTGACGTGGCGTGTCATTTCTGCAGATTTGAGCCAGGGCCGGCCGAGTAAGCGTCACCACATTCAGGGGGGAGGAAGAGGAAGAGGAGGGGGAGGAAGGACGAGGAGGGAGGGAGGGAGGATACCTGCACCAATCAGGATCTGCTTTCCGCCACAGCTTAGGAGAACACTCTCCCAACAAAGTGTGGCTGTTTTCCCGCCGATGGTCCGGAGTGGGGGAAACTGGTTAAGATGTGTTCGCATCTGTGTTTCAAACTTCGAACGCGCCAATGAAGGCGATTGCTTCCTGGACGGTCCCACAAGCGGCGAAGAAAAACAAATAGCACCTCGGGCACACGCTGCGGCGCAGCCCTGCTGTGGTGAAACTCGCGGTTTTAACGGCGTTTGGGAAGGAACGCGCGGGAAGGAAGTCTGGGCAAAAACGTTGCGCGGGCACCCCACATGACCTGGCCGGCCATTTGTATAATACGCACAACAGTAACCAAGACACAGGCCGATACGAATTCACCCAAAATCGTATCACAGTAGCCGGGGGGCCGGGAGGAACGTAGGGGCCAAGAGAAACGTCGAACCGGCAGAAGACTGCGGGCGCAGCGAGTATTGGCTAAATGACATAATGTAACATGCAGCATGCACGAGCACAGCTGGGGGGAAGGAGGGGGAGGGGGGAAGGAGGGAGAACATGACTGACCAGCACGCCGATATCAACCAAGCGTTTCTTGCCGCGCCGCGGTAACCAGGGCAGCCAGCGACGGATGAGCTGCGCAGGCCTCGCGGCCACACTGCCACCAAGCGCCGGCCGCGTCCGCTGTAGTGTGGTGTCGCGCCGCGCAGGAGGCGGCATATGCACAGTATGCGGCCAGGGCGCGACGAGCTAACAGAGGGGCCGTGCCCTCGGAAAATGAAGGCTCCAGAGCAACAAAACTCGAGAGACGAGCCGCTGGGGCGGGACGGGGTAGACGCAAGTGCTTGTAGCCTAGCTCCGCCAGGCAAGGGCATTGCGCGAAGTGCTGTAGACTGTCTTCGCCACGCGGACACCCGAAGGGGCAAGGTGCCCAACGTCCAACACGGCGGGCGGTCGTCCAGCTGTCACACAAGGCCCTGTACAATGAAGCCCAGACCCTGGGGGGCACAGCCGGTGCAAGACCGCGCAGAACTGTCAGCGCTCGGGGCAATCGACGACCTGGAAGGAGGTGGAAGGGAAGGCGAGACAGGGCGCGTGACAGCTCACGCGTGGTGCTCATTGGGCTCGGCGGCGTCAGCAGCTGGCGGCAGCGCCGTTGCCACTGCGACCGGGGAGTCGGAGTAGCAGAAACACCTTGGACCAGCAATGCGACAGAGGTGCCGGTCCCGGCGGCGCGGGCCTCGAGGCGATGCTGCGCGTCCGCGAGATTCATGATGAAGTTGCCGGTGTACCACTCGTGCCAGGTGGCCAACTGCGGGAGGTTGTCCGAACCGCTAATCTTGTCCAGCAGCAAGCGCCGCCGGCGTGGGATGTGCAAGCCCCCATGCGGCGTCGGCCTCCCATCGGTGCACCCTGCACTTTGCCGCGAGGGCTGTGGCGTGGGCATCGGGAAGCTGCGAAGGGAATCCCAACGAGCATAAATCATGCAAAACGGCAGGTGACGTCCAGCAGCGAAGCCCCGGAAACAGCAGAGCGCATGCCTTCTGCTCATGCTCGGCCCAGTCCGGCGGCAGCCTGTCCAGCTAGCTGCATGAAGAAGCAAAGGACGGGGAAGATGTAGACGCGGTAGGCGAGGATGGTGATGAGCATTCCCCCGCCCACGGCCCGCCATGTCCGTGCACGCGACATGTGCTTCTGCAGCGGTTTCGTCCACGACGATTGCGCGCGCTCGGGCCCCACCTCGATGCCCAAGTACGCGGCGTGCCGGCGCGCCGTGAACTCCCCCCAGGTGGGCGCTGCTGCGTGTAAGCGAGCTCTGACAATGTCCAACGGTGTCAAGGATAAGGGCGCCCACGCGCTTTTCCCCGGTGAAGCCGGAGTCCTGACAGCCGTTCATACTCGTCAAAAGCGTGCTCGAGAATGGGCGCGTCCTGCGTGCTGTGGGCGAGGGCCACCGCGAGGTCGTCGGCGCAGGCGCGCTGGTTGGACTCCGGCACTAAGCGTGGCAGCCGACGTCGCATAACGTCCGACAGCACGGCAAAAAGCAGCGGTGAAAGAGGGCAGCCCTGCCGCACCCCCGCGGCAAGCTCGAAGCCCTCGAACGTAGCGCCCTGGACAATGATCAGGCATCGGTTGTAACGGTAGAGGGCCTGGACCAAAGTGATGCACCAATCCGGCCAGCCACGGGCCGCCAGCACGTCCATGAGAAACTCCTGGCTGACGGAGGGGAAGGCGGCCTCGAAGTCGAAAAAGATGGCCGCCGCGCCCTCGTAGTCCAATGAGAAATTCAACATGGTCTCGTCGAGGTCTACGAGGTTCGCCAAGATGGAGCGGCCCTGTAGGAAGCCGCGCTGGGAGTCGGAGATTCCCGGAGCGACTGCTGGCTCGATCCACAGGCGCACCGCACTGGCGATGATCATGTTGTCCGCGTTGGTGATGTTGAGAGGCCGCGTATTTGGAGGCCTGTAGAAGTCCATGCCGTCTGGGGTAGCGCCACTAAGCTTTTTCGGCAAGAACACCATGGAACTCTCATTGAAGTCGCCCCAGTCCGTCTCCAGGAGGCTCAAACCGTCGGTGCTCACCATGGCAACAAAAGCATCGTACAGAGCACGGGCGGCAAACTCTCCCAGTTTTCGCCACGCTCGGAATGGTGCACCATCGGGGCCTGGAGAGCTGTTCTTGGTGTGCCGGATGGCGCGTTCGAAACAATCGAACGGAACGATATCGCCAGGCACGTGCTGCCGATCCACAGCAGGGAAGTGCGCCGCTTCGTCCGCGAGCCATTCTCGCCGCAGCGTTTCGTCTGTGCCCTTGCGGCTGAAGACTCTCGACCAATGGCTCCGGAGAGCCCGGGCGATGTGGGAGGGGTCGGTGCTCACATGGCCAGCGTTGTCGCTGACGGCGTAAATGGCGCACCCTCGGCCGGGGGCCAGACGGGTAAGCAGGCGGTGGTTGCGTTGCCGACGTCGGGAGGCCTGGTCTGGCGTAAGGTCGGGGAGATCGTTGTGCATCTGGCTGAGCTCGTCGATGGCATGGGAGCGGGCCAAGTCAACGGCATGCTGTCGGACCAGCCGCAAGCGGCGGCCCGTGTTGGAAGTAAAGTCGTAAGGATTGTCGACTAGGTCTTTGAGAGTGGGGTACCGCAATATGCACTGGCTCACGCCCGTGGCGGAGCCGCGCTCCGACGAGCGGAGGAACTTCATGGTCACGCCAAGCCTGTCCTCATGCGTGCAAGCGTCCGCAGTGGCGCCGAAGTTCAAATTCAGGCTGCGGGCAGCGCGGCGCATGGCGGCCTTCAGGAGGACCAGCTGTCTCACCGGGGAGGCGTCGGGCTCATCCTTCAGCAAATCCTGCCATGCTAACGAAACTAATCGCGGCCACTCTGGATGTTCAAGCACCTGATCCGGGAGTGGCGCACGCATTTCTGTTGAGCGCTGGGGGACTTCGCGGCGAAAGCTGATGTGCCGGTGCCGGGATAGCTCTGGACATCTATCCCGCACACCTGTGGCAGCGGAGCTCCGCGAGGCACTTCGACGCCGGCTCGCCGAGCACATTGCCCCCCAACATACTGTACTCACTTTTCTCGGGGGCGACTTCAATTACGTCACGGAGGCGGGTGACCGTCGCTGCACCACCACAGGTGCGACCACGGGCGGCCGTGACCGAAGCGACGAGGCCAGCTGGCAGCGGCAAATTGCACAACCTCATGGGCTTCACGACCTTCATCAACCCGACATGTCTTACGCCTCTCCAACCTCTCGCTCGCGCCTCGACCGGCTCTACACCAACCAGTCTGCGGTAGAAGGGCTCGATCGGGCGATGATGTGTGCTGCACTCGCATGGCGGCGGGCAGCGGCGGCGGCGGCGGCGGCGGCGGCGGAGGCAGCGGCGGCGGCGGCGGATTGGCCCCCAGTAGCTCCCCATCCCAAGACGACTGCTGAATATGCTGAGGCTCGGGCCAGACTCGGGTGCTACGTATGTGTTGGGAGGGCGGGTGGGAGTGAGCGAGACGGCTTGCGGGCGGGGAGGGGGTAACTTGCCCCTCCCCCATACCCCCTCCCCTGGACCTGGACAAGGGGTTTCGCGAGTCCTCGGGGCGTCCAAAACGGCCTCGACGAGGAAGCCAACATCATTGGTTTTACCACGGTTTTGGCCACATTTTGGCCTCCTGGGGGGGACGCGAATTGTGACCACCCCCTTCTTTGACCGATGTCATCCAAGATGGCCCCAAGAAGCGCCCAGGAGGCCCCAAGAGGTCCCAAGATGGCCCCAAGCTGGCCCCAAGAGGCCTCGAAGAGGCCCCCAGGAGGCCCCCCAAAGGATCCCAGGCGGCCCCAAGAGGCCCCCCCGAGGCACCCAAGACGCCGAAGAGCCCCCCACGACCGCCAAGAGACCCCCAAGACGTCCCAAGACGCCCAAGAGATACCCCAAGAGGCCCCGAGAAGCATCCCAGGGGCCTCTGGCCCTTTTGCTTGCTCTCCTCCTCCTCCTCCTCCTCCTCCTCCTCCTCCTCCTTCCTCCTCCTATCCCTTCTCATCCTCCTCATCCTCCCTCTCCCCCTCCCCCTCCGCCTCCTCCTCCTCCTCCTCCTCCTCCTCCTCCTCCTCCTCCTCCTCCTCCTCATCCTATTCATCCTCCTTCTCCCTGATCCCTCAGCCATCCATCCAATTTTCTCCTTCGCCCCCTCTCTCCTTCACACGGTTCGGCCGTCCCCCTCTTTGCTCCCGCACTTCCCTGATCACCTCTCAACTCGCCTGGACATCGTTTCTGGCTGGGCTGGTGGGGGTACGCGAAGCGTGTGGCATTCCCGTTCAAAAACAAATACATGATTGAATGATTCTGCTGGAGGCTGGGGCTTGACCATTTCCAATGAAAGTCCGACTCAAAAAAGAAATGAGCGAATAAGGAATCCTGCTAGAGGCTGGGACTCGACAGTTTCCTGTTGAAATCCAATTCCAAAGATACTAAAGAAGCCTGCTGGAGGCTGGGGTTCGGCGGTTTCAGAATGAATTCATATGTGAAAAAATGATTCAGTTATTCTGCTGGAGGCTGGGACTCGGCCATGTCCTACTAACTCCCAGTCCAAAACACATGAAGTCATGTGGGGTTATGCTGGAGACTGGGGCTCGGCTGTGTCCAGTCGAATTCCCATTCACAAAGCAAACAAGTGATGTAGGAATTCTGCTGGAGGCTGGGACTCGACTATTTCCTGTTGAATTATTCCTTTTTCAACAACAATAGAAATAATCATGGAATTCTGCTGGAGGCTGGGAATCAACCGTTTCCAAGTGAATTCCTATTCAAAAACAAATGAAGTGTTGAGGAATTCAGCTGGAGGCTGGGACTCGGCCTGTTCCTATTGAATTCCTGGGAATCCTGAAGGTGCCGTGAGGGCATCGGCCAGAGTTTTGGCCGTCTCATGGACAATGGGAAGAAAAGTTATCCCACGGACCCCTTGTTTTACTAGTGGAGCCATGCTCGAAATGCTGCGACACGAAGGCCACGCTTGAAACTGCCCTTTTTCTTCATGTTTAAAATGAGGCCCTCATCTGCTTGATAACTAATGAATAGTACACGAAGGTGACGTGTGGTGCAAGCGGCACGAAGGTGAGGTGTGAAACTGACGTTTCCTTACTTCTCCAATGGCGATCCTGCACTGTCGTTTTACAGTATATAATACACGAAGGTGGCGTGTGGTCAGACACAAAGGCCATGTGTGAGCCTGCTGCTCCAACAACAACAACGACGACGACTACAACTACTACTACTACTACGACTACTACTACTACTACTACTACGACTACTACTACTACTACTACTACTACTACTACTACTACTACTACTCCTACTACTACTACTACTACTACTACTACTACTACTACTACTACTGCTACTGCTACTGCTACTGCTACTGCTACTGCGACTGCGACTGCGACTGCGACTACTACTACTACTACTACTACTACTACTACTACTACTACTACTACTACTTTTACTACTACTATTTTTACTGTTACTTTTATTTTTACTTTTTACTTGCACTTTTACTTTTACGTTTACTTTTACTTGTACTTTTACTGTTACCTTTACTTTTACTTTTTACTACTACTACTACTACTACCACCACCACTACCACTACTACTACCGTCGTTACCACTACTACTACTACTACTACTACTACTACTACTACTACTACTACTACTACTACTACTACTACTACTACTACTACTACTACTACTACCACTACCACTACCACTACCACTACCACTACCACTACCACTACCACTACCACTACCACTACCACTACCACTACCACTACCACTATCACTATCACCACTATTACCACTATTACCACTATTACCACTACTACCCCTCTTGGCCTGGACAGCCCTCTCCTGCTCGTGCCTCCCCGCCCCCATTCTAGGTGTTGCCGAGCTCCTCCTCCCTTTCCTCCTTCGTCAAGGCGCAACAATAACGGTGATTCGCGGCGTTGAGGTCCCAATAGTAGTGTTCTGGCACTGTTCAGGATTGTCGTACTGTTGTTTTCAAACGGGGCATTTCCTTCAGTGACAGTGAGTCTCTGTGCGGGCCTATGACGAGGGAGCTTGGAGGGAGAGTCGATTCGAACATCGTTGATGAAACTTGGGTTTGCACTGGTTCTCCTCCTCCTCCTCCCCATTCTCGTCCTCCTCCTCCTCCTTGCCATCGCCCGCGTCGTTTTTCCGCGACCGCCCCTCAGAGCGGTGGGCGCCAGCGCCTCCCACGCGCCTCGCGCCGCGGAGGCGAGCTCCAGGAGGCCGGCGGCGTGCAGCGCCCTCCCCGCCGCGTCCTCGCCGGCCCAGGGCTGGCCAGGAGGAGGAGGAGGAGCGAGGAAGCGGAGGAGCGAGGGCGATCAGGAGAGAGGGAGGGAGGGAGGGCGAAGAGTGAGGGAGGGAGGGAGGAGAGGAGGAGAAGGAGGAGGAGGAAGGAGAGGAGGAGGGGAGGGGGAGGAAGAGGAAAAGGACGGGAGGGAGGAGGAGTAGGTGACTACCTACCAGACCACCCCAACCAAACCCGAAGACCCGAATTTCGGGTTGGGGGGGGTACGGGTTCCATGTGTGTTTCTTCAATCTTCCCCGACCCTCCACAGTGGAAATGGAAGGCAAATTGAGGCCTTCGGGTTTGGTTGGCGTGCTTTTGCAAGTAGTGAGTAGGAGGAGGAGGGAGTGAGGGAGGGTAGGGAAACAAGCAGTGACATGAACATAATTACACTTTCGGAGGTCCGCGCAGATTACTCGCATCGGCGCTGGGGTCCCCCTGGCGGCGCCTCCGGCGCCGCCCCTGGCGCGCTTCGCGCGCCAGAAGGGCGGGTCAGCGCCGATCCGAGAAATCCGCGCGGACTTTCGAAAATTGATGTGTTCCTGCTCCTGTTTGTTCCCAGGGCTCCGGATCCGATGGCTGGCGCACCCCCTCCCCCCTTGGTGTGGGCACCGTTCAACAATGTGCCTTGCTGCGGAGTGCGTGTGTGTGTGTGTGTGCATGTGTGCATGTGTGCATGTGTGTGTGTGTGTGTTTGTGTTTTTTTTTGTGTGTGTGTGTGTGTGCGTGCGTGCGTGCGTGCGTGCGTGCGTGCGTGCGTGCGTGCGTGCGTGCGTTTGTGTGTGATTGTGTGTGCTGCATGTGTTTGTGTGTGTTCGTGTGCGCGTGCGTGTGTGCGTGCGCGTGTGTGTGTGTGTGCATGTGCGCGTCTGTGTGCGAGTGTCTGTGTGTGTCTGTGTGTCTATGTCTCTGTGTATGTATATGTTTCTGTGTGTGTATGTCTGTGTGCGTGTGTGTGAATATGTGTGTGTGTGTGTCTGTGTCTGTGTGTGTCTGTGTGTGCGTGTGTCTGTGTCTGTGCGTCTGTGTGTGTTTGTCTGTGTGTGTCTGTGTGTGTTGTGCGTGCGCCAACTCCCATTTGCAGAGCGCACCGGCCGGCCGGACACGCGGCTGCGCAGGGAAGGAGGAAGGGAGGGATGAGGGGAGGGAGGGGGAGGAGGGAGGGAGGGGAGGGGAGAGGGTGGTCAGGAGGGAGGGATGATTTGTTCCCCCGCTTCCACCCTTTGGTGCGTTTTCCCGCCGCTCCGCCCCGCCTCGCCGCCGTGCCTGCGCGGGCCTCGCGGCTCGGCTGCTCTGCCGAGAACGTCTCGAAAATGATATCGCCAACCATCGATCCTTGCACACGCGGCCCAAGGAGCCAAACCGGTATAGAACGGCGTGTATCGCGTCTCGAATCTCGAGGCAAGTCAAGTCCTGCGCAGCAATCCAAGAGCGTACAAAGCCGTCAACGTCGTCGTCATCAGCAATCACAGTCTCGGAATCGCTGTCCAGATTGAGGGAGCCAAGTTCGTCGACGTCGCCACGAGAGGGGGCACCAGAGACACCAGGACTGTTTTCCCCGCTCAAGCTGACAGACGCAACAGCCTCTTCAGAGACAGTCTCAACCGCTTCTGCGATGAAGGCGAAAAGAGAGGACATATCGGAGACTCGTTCGCATACCAAGGACGTGTCAGGCCTCTGTCCCTCAAGATCGCCATCGTCCATACCCAATTGTATAAACCCATCGTGACCATGAAGATCAGCAGCACCAATGGGTTTTTGAAGTCCCTCATTGGCCCCCTGGCTGGGCCTCAGGACCTCAGGGCCTCCATCTTCCCTAGCAGTGCTCCCAGGCAATTCCAACACACCATTCAGAGACGCCTCCACTCCAGGCTCAAAATCATCGAACAGCGAAATTTCCACAGACAGGTCGGGACCATCTTGACCACAAAGGGGTTTCCGAAGTCCCTCATCGGCACACTCGTTCCGCCTCAGGACCTCGGGGCATCCACCTTCCCTGGGCCATCTATGAGAGGTCAGAACCACATCGAGGAGAGAAGCTACATCATCAGATGCGCCTTCAGAAAGCAAAGAAATATCTGCGGACACCACGTGTCCACCGTGACAGAAAGCGGCATTGTTGTCTATCCCACTCCCGCGCGCGGGCGCAATAGCATGAACTGCATCACCTCGAATGAGTTTTCGAAGTCCCCCATCGGCCTCAACAGTCGGCCTCGGGACCTCGGGGCCTCCATCTTCCCTAGTCTGTCGTTCTGAAGCCGCTCCTGCAGAGAAGTCCGACACAGCGTGCCCAGGGCGGTCGGTATCCTCTTTGCCGTAGCCTTGGTCGGAGGTGTCCTCCAGCCTGTCCGTGTCGTCACCGTCGAAGTAGTGAATCTCGTCAATGAAATCCCCCTGCTCGTTCCCCCAGCCGGTTACCCCGATGGGCGCGTCGCCGTCCTCGTAGTGGACATGGTCGATGATGCCCTCCTGCTCCGCCAGGCCGTCGTCGTCCCCGCAAGGCCCCACGCAATCGTCAAGGAGAACCTGGTCAATGAAATCCCGCTGCTCCTTCGACCCGTCGCCGGCCTCGACATACACCAAATCGTGCCCCAATCCCCGAAGAACCAAACCTGCAGGAGAGTGATGAAGAGCATCCCTCCAGGCCAGAAGCAAAGGGGCGTCAGCCCGTAACGGTGGACCTTCCTTGGGTCCCTGGCAGACGAACTCGTCAAGGCAGAGAGGTACTCGAGATGAGTTATGCTCCTTGGGGCGCCTTTTGAACTTGCTACCTGCCCCAGGCCAACGCTGATGCCGAGCAGAGTTCCCTTTCAACGATAGATGCTGCATGGCCCGAATAGCCTCACATCCAAACTGCCCACTACGGATCGCATCCTCCAGCGTTTGACGCAGAGAACGAGAGTGTGGAAGCCCATGGCCCACCTCCAACGTTTGATGGAGCCGCGCAAGTTGCGCCAAGTCGAACACTCTGCGAACAAAGGTAAGGCCACACGTCTGGGCAACCCCACCCAGCAACAGTTCTGTCCGAAGTGACACGAGAGAGCATGCAGGAAAAGCAAAATATACAGAACGCCTCGAATTCAAATTGGTCCTTTTCCACAGCTGCCTAAGGGCGCCGAGCGTGAAGTTGACAGCCTTAGCACCACCAGATGTTGGACCAAACGTGCGGGGACGGTAAGAATCCATCACAATGAAAACACGTAGACTGAAGGTCACAGACGCGCGGCACCAAGGAGCGTGGACATGGCAAACCGAGGGGCGCGGCCGCGGGCAACTTGCTGGCTCTTGAGCCAAAATGGTTACGGGTCAGGAGGGAGGGAAGGGGAGAGGGAGGGAGGAAGGCAGGGAGAGAGGGGAGGGGGGGGAGGGAGGGAGGGAGGGAGAGAGGCCGCTCGCCCTCTTGCCTGCGCGGTCGCCATCGTGTGCCAGCTGCTCGGCCCGTTTCTCCCCTCTCCGCCGCCGCACAGCACAGACTGCGGGGAGCCGGCGGCGGAGCGCGGGCGCAGAGCAGCTCCAGCCCCGTCTGCGGCTCCCGGGCTCGAGGGCGCGAGGGCGGCGCGAGAGGCGTAGGTACAGTCGGGCTGCTGAACGAAGGAACGATGGACAAGGAACGGAGGCCCTGCTTGGCCCCCCCAAAGCGCCTCCGTGCCCAAGGGGGGCAAGATGAACAGCTATGGAGGAACATATGGAGCATCGAGCCCCCTCCGTGCCCACAGCGATCCTCATTTCAGCGTCTAGACTGTAGCAGCGGGAGGGCGGCGTGGGAGGCGTTGAGCAAGCCGGGAACGAACGAACGCCGTGCGCGTTACGGCGTGGCGGTGGAGGCCGTGGCCTCGATACGTAGAATAAAACCTCAGCGGCAGGTCAGGACACAGCCGCGAGATATTAGTCAGGGCTGAACCTAAACGGTGTTTTTCGTTTTCGTTTTGTTTTCGTTCTCCTTCGTTTCAATCCACCTCTACCGCAAAACGAAGTCGAAACGACAACGGCCCACGAAATCGCCAAAACACCGCTTAGGTCCAGCCCTGATATCAGTTGCCGACAGTAGGAAGTCAGGCCCCCGCGGAATTCGGCAAACTAGAGAACCAGGCCCAAGGGAGGGAGGGAGGGAGGAGACGAGCGAGGAGGGGCGAGGGCGGCGAGGAGGGCCCGGGCTGGGAGGGCGAAGAGGACGGGGGCGAGGGGAGCGACGCGGCCGGCGGGGGACGAGGGCGACGAGGACGACGGCGACGAGGACGAGGGCGACGAGGACGAGGGCGAGGGCGGCGAGGACGAGGGCGACGAGGGCGAGGAGGAGCGACGAGGACGGGGATGACGAGGAGGGGCACGAGCAGCTGGGTCCCGAGGGAGGCGGGTCCCGGACCGCGGGGCCTTCCCGCGGGGCCGCTTCCTCCAGGACGAGCCGTTCTGTAGGCGGCCCTGCAGGGCACGGGGAGGCAGGAGGAGGAGGAGGAGGAGGAGGAGGAGGCAGGAGGAGGAGGCAGGAGGAGGAGGAGGAGGAGGAGGAGGAGGAGGAGGAGGAGGAGGAGGAGGGAGGAGGAGGAGGAGGAGGAGGGAGGAGGAGGGGGGAGGAGGGGGAGGAGGGGGAGGAGGAGGAGGGAGGAGGAGGAGGAGGGGGGAGGGGGGAGGGAGGAGGAGAGGAGGAGGAGGGGAGGCAGGAGGAGGAGGAGGAGGCGGAGGAGGAGGAGGAGAAGGAGGGGCAGGAGGAGGAGGAGAGGAGGAGGAGGAGAAGGAAGGAGGGGAGGAGGAGGAGGAGGAGAGGGGAGGAGGAGGAGGAGGAGGAGGGGGAGGCAGGAGGAGGAGGGGGAGGAGGAGGAGGAGGAGGAGGAGGAGGAGGAGGAGGAGGAGGAGGAGGAGGAGGAGGAGGCCCCCGGAGGCCGAAAACGGCGACGAACCTTTAGAGCTGATGGGGTCGAAGGAGATGGGGGTCGGAGGATCGGCGCCGCATTGCCGATGCATCGCCGGTGCAACGCCGATGCATCGCCGATGCGCTGGAGCCGTCGCCGATGCATCGTCGACGTCGGCGTCAAGAACATCGGGCCCCCATATCGAGCGGCACCGCCGCTGCATCGGCGGGGCAGCGCGCTTCTCCGACCCCATCTCGACCGTCCTCGAACTTGTCCCTACCCCTAAGATCGGCAAGCCCAAGGCGATGACAGTCTCAGGGATGTGCCCGCAGAAACCGAGGGACTTCTGAAGATCGGAACCGAGGTGAGATGATGCCAGACATAGAGATGGTGATATGGCGGATTCCGAGAACCCCTGAGCCCAAAAACGTGTTCATCTCTTGGGGGCGCATGTTTACTTCCGCCACCTTCCGCCGCCCTTCCGCCAGCTTCCGCCGACTGAGGCGGCCCGTTTTGTTTCCCCCGACCTGCCGCCGCCCTTCCGCCGCGTTCCGCCAAGGGGGAGGTGGCAACTCGTTCGACCCTCGCAGGCGAGGTCCCTTTTTGGAACGCCCCAGATGTTTCGAGCTGGCATCACCCGCTCGGACACGTTTGGGTGACACATAGAGGGGTCCAACTGAAAGGGAGTGGCGCAATAGACTTGGGGCAATTGTATTGCAGATGTACTGCGCCGGAAAACTCTACGAACGCGTTCTATTAGAAGTGGTGTATAACTACTGCACGCAAAAATCCAGCAATACATTTGCGCCCCGGAGTGCATTGCACGCCCCAGGCGTAACGCAACCCCACAAACCTATTGTGCCAAATCTATTGCACCCTCCCCTTGTCGCTGGACCCCCTCGTGGGTCCACCCGAACACCGCCTGGGAGGCCGCAGGGGCAGGGAGCCTCCGCACCCGTCCGGCTCGTGGGCGGGGTCCTCGTCGGCCCAAGACGCGCGGAGGGCCGCCAGGTGTGCGGCCGGGCGCTCCTCGGCTCGCCGCCGCTCCCTCGCCTGCAGGGGGGGGGGGCCCGTGCTCACATCCCTCTCGAGGCTCTCGGGTCCTCCTCCTCCTCCTCCCCCTCCTTCCCTTCCTCCTCCTCCTCCTCCTTCTCCTCCTCGGCCCGTTCTCCTCCTCCTCCTCCTCCTCCTCCTCTTCTTCTTCTCAGTTGTCTTCTTATTGATAGTATTATTAATACGATTATTATTCGTATAATTAAAACTATGTTTATGATTGTTTTTATTAGTACACATCTTAGTCTGATGATTAGTTTTCGCATTATTAGTGTTATTCTCCTTAGTAGTAGTAGTAGTAGTAGTAGTAGTAGTAGTAGTAGTAGTAGTAATAGTAGTAGTAGTGGTAGTAGTAGTAGTAGTAGTAGTAGTAGCATCATCATCCTTATTATTCTTACGATTCATATTATTGGTATGATTCGTCTTCTCCTTGATATTATGCTGCTGTTGCTGATTATTGTTGTTTCTCTTCTTCGAAATCATGCGTATGCTACTTATTGCTTCTTATTGTTTTGTGTATTGGTCTTGTTCTTAGGCTGAATACTATTATTATTCCCCTCCTCCTCGTCATCATCCCTCCTCCCCCTCCTCCTCCTCCTCCTTCTCCTCCTCGTCCCCTCCTCCTCCTCCTCCTCCTCCTCCTCCTCCTCTTCCTCCTCTTCTCCTTCGTATGTGTCTTCTTATTCGTATTCGTATTACTCGTATTGCTGCTACGATTACTATTTTTAGTACTCTGCATATTCTGATAAGTCATATCATTACTATTGCTATTAGTATTCTTCCCATTATTATGGTTATCCCCCTCCTTATTTTTTGCATATCATTAGTTGTGATATTATTGGTGTTCGTATTCGTCTTATTATCCTTGGTATTCTCTCTGCTTATGCGTATCATTGGTATTCATCTCATTAGTATATGCTGCTTCTTCATAGTGTGTGATTAGTGTGCGTATTCGTATTCTTCTTATCATTAGCTTATGATTATCCTCCTCATCATCCTCTTCCTCCTCCTCCTCCCTCCTCCTCCTCCTTTTCCTCCTCCTTCTCCTCCTGGTCCCCTCCTCCTCTTCTTCTTAGTAGTATTAATATCATGTGCGTTATTATTAGGATTATTAGTCGTACTCTTGTTAGTGTGTTTGGTCTCATTGCTACCATCAGTAGTAGTATTGTTATTCTTCATGTATTATCATGACTCTTCTTATCAGTATCAGCCTCATCCTGCGTAGGATTACTCTTCTTAGTCTGAGTAGTACTATCAGTATGGGTATTGTTAGTGATGGTATCCGTGTGATGCTTACGCTTAGCATTCGTATTCCTATTATTATGTTTGCGTTGATGCTTAGTATTATCATTATGCGTATTCGTTGTAGTCTGTATATGCTTATCCTTATTATTTGTATCCTCCTCCTCCTCCTCCTCGTCCTCGTCCTCCTCCTCCTCCTCGTCCTCTCCTCCTCCTTCTCTTCCTCCTCCTCCTCCCTCCTCTTCTCCTCCTCCTCCCTCCTCCTCCCCCCTCTCCTCCTCCTCTACCTCCTCCTCCTCCTCCTCCTCCTCCTCCTCCTCTACCTCCTCCTCCTCCTCCTCCTCCTCCTCCTCCTCCTCCTCCTCCTCCTCCTCCTCCCCTCCAGACGGACTAAGCCCAGACGGAGACCGAGCACGCCGTATGGAATTCTCCCGATGGCCTTGGCCTCCTCCGATGGCAGCTGGGCGAAGAGCGGCCACAGGGCCGCCGTGAAGGCTGTTTTGAACTGGCGCCGTGACTGCGGGCGACCACAGGGAAAAGGGTTAGAGGGGCGAATCGGATGGGCGAGCAACGACATAAGTACATGTACGCCATCCGCGGTCTTGCCTGTACGAACGTCCGCGTTGACACGCTCTCCAGGGGAAGCTAACCGCGTACGTGTACATATGTTGCTGGCCTCTGATCGGAGCCCGATTCCAGCTCGAAGTCGCTGCCGGCCTCCCCCGAGGCTTCAAGCCTGGGGGAGGCGGCAGGGCTGGGAAGCTTGCGGCCCCCACAGTGGCAGGCGGGGGCAGAAACTGCCCGGCCGCCAGGCGCCCCCGATGGCAGAACAGTCTGCTTCGTGCAGTTCGTCGCCTTGGGTTTCTGCGGGACTTCTCGCCGCCGCGAATGACCCCGCCACGAAGGTCGGGCCGCAGCGCGCCCCAGGACAGGACCGGGGACCGGACGCCCTTTTTGGGGGCGTCTCCGCGGGGCTTCTAGCCGCCGCGGGTGGATCCGCCGCGAAGATCGGGCCATAGCGCAACATGAGACAAGTCCAAAAATCCGCGTGGAACCCCCGAGCTGGAGGTCCCTGGAAATGTTCTCGAGTCGTCAGAAATCGCGACGGGATGTTTTTTGGAACCCCCGAGCTGGAGGTCCCTGGAAATGTTCCCGAGTCGTCAAAAATCGCGACGGGATGTTTTTGACATCCGTCGGCCCTGGGCGGCGCTTGCCAGGCCGCGGGGGCCATCGAAACAGGACTCAGGGGAGGACGCGGTCCACGCTGCGAGGAAGACGCGCCTGGGGGGGGCTCTAGGGAACGGGGAGAGGGGAAAGGCATCCGCTGTCGCGGGGAGTGGGGGAAGGGAGGGTGTAGAGGGATGCACCTGCACACCGACGCCGATCCTGGCCATCTGACCCTATCGCAGGGCTCGGCACCACTTGTCCTGCGCCCGGGATCAGCATGGCCCGGATCAATACAGACTGTGGGTGCGCAGTTGGCGCCCCATCGAGGGGGGAGGCCCGCGAGGTTTCGATGACATGTTTGGGCCCTGTCTGGGCCTCCAGACGCCTCGGTGGGCCTCCCGGCATGTCCGCCACCGCCGACCGCTCGCGGCGCGCAGAAGGGGGTGGAGCGGATCGTGCGGACTGCCGAAGATGGCAAACGGGCTTCTCAGAAGGGCCCCAGGGCAAGTTACCCAACGATTTCGGTGACTTCCGCCGGGCTTCGGGCCCCAGGACCATCATGTATCGATCCATCCCGAAAAAGTCCCGCGTGCGTAGAAGTCTGGTCGACACCTCTGCCACGTTCTCCCAACCCGACGAGTTGGGCTTGATATGCTCAACGAAGACGCCTGCCCGCCAGCCCTGCCCTGGCCGCACAAGCCCGAGGACCCCCGAGCGTCCTGAGACTCCGCTTCGCCAGCTCTGCACACCGCGGCCGCGCAGGCTCCAAGACCCACAAATGTCCCGAGTCTCCCGCCCCACCAGCCCTGCACGGCACAGACTTCTAAAACTGGCGCTGGGAACACACACACACACACACCAGGAACAAACATCGAGAACACAAATCAGGAACAGCATCAAGAATCGACATCAACCATGGACATCAGTGACAAACATCAGGAAACGACTGCACAACAGACACCAACAACAGACATCAAGATCATACCATGGGGGCAGGCACCAATGCCAGACAGACGGACATCACACACACGCACGCGCGCACCTGGAGCGCATCAATAGCAGGAACGAAGAGCACAGATCACGAACACACACACACACATACACCAAACTCGCACATCAAGAACAATCATCAACGACATACAACAAATACATACACCCCGAAAGGATGAGTGCATCAATGACTACCGTGGGTAACATACAACGCGACCGCTCAACAAAACCGCACAGCAAGAGCACATACCAATAACGTGCATCACGGACAGGCATCAATCGCATACACAACAACGTACACAAACCATAACACACACACACACACACATCAAGAACACCCACCAATATCAGGTATCAAGACAAGGCGTTGCGACCCCACATTTAGAGCAAGCACCCACAACACACACACACATCAGCGAAACGAAACAATAACATACGCCAGTAACGCATAACATTGACTTTGAAATGACAATAGCAAACACCAAGCGCACGCAACAATGTCATACACATTCGGCGTGACAAGCGTAAATGAAGGACGCGCGTAAAGGGCATTCGTGATAACACGCGCAAGTAATGCATTGTGCAGTCGCGCACACGTATTGCACATGAGACATCACGCGTGCAGACATCAAGAGTATGCGCAACGGTCCTGCACAAACCATTATTAAACAGAGCACGCTGCAGAGTCACACGCGACAGACTTCGACACCTCTCGCAGCATCTCCCTCGTGATAATCGCCCGAATCAAAGCAATGTTCGCAACCTGGTGATGTGTTCCACGACTTCTCATGTCTGGTGCCAGGCGGACTCCCGAGGCCCAGGGTGGGCCCAACTCTTCGTAGATGCCAGTTTTCGGCCCGCTCACCAGGACCTGGACCCCCCACTGAGTCCATGGAGGTACGGTGCTGGTGGATACCTTCCGTCCCCCGATCGCCAGGTTCTCGCGCACGCGGGCCTCCGCGGGGTTGCCGCCCCTGCGGGTCTTGCCCGTCTTCACGGACATCCACACGCGCTGGCCCGCCGGGTCCGACGTCACCATCCACCGCTCCCCCTCGACGTGCGCCCGCACGTGCGCCTCCAGGCCCTCGGCGTACCTGGACCACTGCGCCTCGAAGCGCCGGCTCACCAGCGCCTCGTGCGCGCTCCGCTGGCGCCGCGCCTCCTCCTCCCGCAGCCAGCTCCGGAGCAGCAGGCGCTCGGGGCCCGCAGCGGCGGCCCAGGTGCCCCGCCTGCGCGCCGCGAGGGCGCGCCCGCGCCTCCTCGCCCGCAGTCGCGCGAAGCCGGCTCCTCGGTGGCCCAAAGAGGGGGTCATGGGGGATGGGGGCCCAGGGGGCAAGAAGGGATCCAAGGGTTGAGGCACCTCGTCCTTTGAGGGGCAACGAAAGGGGGGGACCGGCAGAAAGGGGGGGAATTGCATCGACCTGGAATCGGCGATACATCGCCGATAGATCGGCGATAGGCCCCCGATAGTGAATCCGCACCTCCCTGGGCAGGCTGGGGCTATCGGGCCCTCATCGGCGATCAATGAGCGATTGGGGGTCGATGCATCCCCCCCTATGCCTATCCCCCCCTATCGTTGCCCCCGATCCTAACACCCCTCAGGGCCCCATCTTTAGCCACCGAGCTCCCTGCGCCGCGGTCAAGGGTGGCAGCTCCTCTGGCCGCTCGTGAGCGCGCCCGGCCAGTGTCTGCGGCCTCTGAAAAGGCGGAGCCCAGCAGTAGGCCCAGCCCGACCGGGACCAGTGGCCGCGCAGCCACCTCTGGACAGGACTGGACCTAAACGTTGTTTTTCGTCTCGTGTTCGTTGTGTTTTTCGTTTCGCTCCACCTGTTTTCATGCACCTCCCTGCCAAACCGAAGAACAAAACGCAGCCGAAGTCCAGCAAAACAGCGTTTAGGTCCAGCCCTGCCTCTGGATGCGCAGCGCCGCTGGCCCCCCAGCGGCGCCGGCGGCGGACGCCGCGACAGCAGGCGGGTGCGCCGCCGCGATGGCCCAGCGCGCGCACCGCCAGCACAGGGCGTGCCTGCAGAGGCGCCGGCGGAGCCGCCACAACAGCATACGCTCGCGCAGGGCGCGCAGCACAAGTCTGGCGCGCGCGAGGCGCGGCGCCAAGCGCTGCTGAAAGGCGCGCTGCACCACCCGCGCGGCCGCCTCGCGCTGGTGGGTCGCGGCCTGCTCGCGCCTCTGGCGCGTCCCAGCGAAGATTCGCTGAATGGCGCGCGCCGCCCTGAGCCGCCGCATCTGCAGCAGCCTCTGCTTCGCCAGCGCTGCACGCCCAAGCCGCGACTCCGCCGCCGCGTACCACTGGCTCCACCGCAGCTCGGCCTGCATCCAAGCTGTGCCTGGGCCGAGCCCGCTGGCGCCGAGCGCCAGAGCTGCGGGCGAAGCCCAGCAGGGCAGCGGCCTCGCGGGCGGCTCAGGCTCGCCGCTGGCCGCCTCGGCCCACCCGGCGCAGGCGGCCGCACGCAGGCCCCGCTGCGTCTCCAGGCGGGCAGCGCGCGATATCTTCGAGAGCCGGGACACGGCGGCTCCCGTGGCGCTCTCGGGCGCGCCCGCCTCGTCGGCGCCGAAGCCGAACTGCGCGCAGGCAGACTCGTAGGCGGCCTGGAGGTCGCCGGCCACCGAACGCAGCAGCACCTGGTTGCCGTCCCGCAGCTCCGGCTGCTGCAGCTCGGCCAGCAGGCCATCCTCGCGCCAAGCCCGCCAGGCCTCGCGCACGGCGGCCTCCTCCGGGGGCAGCGCGCCCGGCGCGTCCTCCCCGCGCGCCAGCGCGGCCCAGTCGGCGCGGCGCTCGCCCGCAAGGCGCCGCAGGTCGGCGCAGGCAGCGTCCGCGGCGCGGTGGGCGTGGGGCAGCCGGCTCATGGGCCGGCGCCGCGTCGGCCGCCACGCAGGCGGCCGCCAGGGAGGGCTCGAGCCAGAATGGCTCTGTGAGGAGTGAGGGTATCATCCCTCGTCGCATATTCGCGCCAGGATGACTGCGGGAGGACCTGCGCTCCCTTGCCATCCGCCTCAACCACCTCCCGGGTCTCCTCTCCTCCTCCTCCTCCTCCTCCTCCTCCTCCTCCTCCTCCTCCTCCTCCTCCTCCCCCTCCTCCGCGGCCACCTCCCTCTCTCTGCCTGAACCTGGTGCTGCTCCATCCCCTTATCCTCGCCCTCCTTCTCACATTCCTCATCCTCCTGGCCCTCATGCCTCCTCTTCCTTATCTCCGCTACCTTACTACAATCCTCCTCCTCCTCCTCCTCCTCCTCCTTCTCCTCCTCCTCCTCCTCCTCCTCCTCCTCCTCCTCCTCCTTCTCCTCCTCCTCCTCCTCCTCCTCCTCCTCCACAAGCCCCCGCAGTGGGCCAAGGGGATTCCGCGGGGCAAATACGCATCCCATGCTGGTCAATGGGCCAGTGTTGACGCCCCCCCGCCAGAGGGCGTAGCTCGGGCGATCGCGATGCGCCTCCGTGTTTGCACGTGGAATGCTCTCTCGATGAGACAGGCCGGCCGCTGGCAGGAAATGGCGCGGCAGCTCCGAGCGTGTGGGGCTGTCGGGGTGCAGGGCACGCAATGCAGTACGGCGAGGGTGTGCGAGCAGGACATCGCACACGGGTTCCATCGCTTCCAGTGGGGACGCGCTGCTGGCAAAGGTGGACGGCCAACAGGCGTAGCTCTTCTGCTCCGTGATAAGGTCTTCGCTGCGAAGCACGTGCGCTGGGTGTACGAGCCTCCTGCCGAGCTTGCTGGGCGTTTGGGAGCAGTGCGTATCAAAGCTCCGCATTGCGACATCACGTTCATCGTTGGATATGCGCCGGTCGAACCGCATGGAGGCGCCAGGCGAGCTCCTGCTGAGCAACAGTGCAGTCGCTTTTGGACCGAGGTGGATGCTGTGCTGAGCCGGCTGCCTGCGCGGACGGTGCCTGTTATGATGTTTGACGCCAATGCACATGTACACGGCACTAGCGACGACACTGCCATTGGACCTGCAAATCCAGAGCCGCAGAACTATAACGGGGGCCACTTCCGCCGCGTACTGGAAAAGCATGGTCTCAGTGCGATCAATACGTACAGTCATCATGATCCCACGTATTACCACTCCAGCGGGCTTACCACGTCCAGGGTGGATTTCCTGTGCAGCACTGTGGAGGTTCGAACTGGAGTTGAAAGTTCACAGGTGTGGAACAGAGCGGGCGACGCCTTGCAGCTTATAAATACACGCTGCAGGAGGGACCACTTTCCCCTGGTATCGGTCATGCACGTGGGGCCTCATTACCATCAGGATTGTGAGTTGCGTCGCAGTTGGGATCACGATAAAATCAACCAGTGCGTCAGGTATGGGGAAGGCAGAGAGGCGTTCTTGTCGCAGGTCGATGCTGCACTACAGCCAGTGATAGCCCAGGCACCTGTGCTTGCACGCCAGAGCCCTGACGCCATTTACAGAGCTGTGCACGACGTGGTTCTGGATCAGGCTGAGCATGTTTTCCGCATACGTCCAAAGCATCAGGCTCGCTCGCAGGAAACACAGCATGCGTTGGACGAGCGCGCTCAGGCACGGTGCGTACTGCGTGCGATGCGTGACGAGCCTTGTCCTTCCTTCCCTCTCCTCTCCTTGTTTGTGACGTCTGTCGTCTCTGCTCTGCCTCCTCATTTCCTCTTGCTCGCTATGCTGTCCGCCAAACAGGTCCCTCGGCTGGCGTGCGCCAGCAAACACTGTGCAGTCAGATTGGCAGCTCCAGCTAGATTTGCGCGGCAGGTGCATGTGTGCCAGACTATTGATAAACAAGTGCGTGCGTGCTTGCGGAGAGACAGGAATCGAATTAAGGGGCTTCGAGTCCAGGAGCTGGACGAGGCCTGGCAAGCGAGAGATTTTTCTGCATGTTGGCGCATTTCAAGGCTCCTGTCTGAAAAGAAGGTGGGGCCAAAGATGCGTCTTTTTTCAACGCCGCGGGTGCACCTCGATTCAGAAACGTGGCACAATTTTTTACAGCAGCCTGGTAAGAAAGGAGGCTTCGCTGGCCGGCCGTGTGAGTTTGACGCGTCGCTGGAGGATCGGTTGGCGCGCCGGCCGTGGCGGGGAGACATCCGCGAGGCAATCACTCAAGGCAAGCGCGACCTCCGCGTACTTCTGCCGCATTTTAAGCATGCCAAGCTTAGACGTGCCCCCCCCCAGTTGGACTTTTCCTGTGGGGCTCTGTAGGGTGTTGGCGTCTCCTGGTGAGTTCAGGGGGCGGGCTCGCGTGGGCCTGGGAGGCACGTCTACTCTTGGGCCGTTCCCGGCTGTTTTTTACAGCTTCTGGTGGATTTGCGTTTCAATTCGAATTCACTCGGCGGTGCCCTTGAGCTGGCACTGCAGTCAGGCATTCGCGCTCAGCAAAAACAACGGCAAACCTGAGTGCGAAGGCCTTCGACTGATCCACTCGCTGGACCCCTTCGGCAAAGTGTATTACTCTCAGCTCTGGAGGCGCTCCCCTCTGCTCACGACGGCGGCGGAGAGAGAGCATGCGTACGGATACCTCCGGTCCCGTCGGAGAGAGTCGGCCGTCCTCGTACAGGCAGTGTGTGCACATAGGCTCAGGGAGTCCCAGATCCCTCATAGTCAGAGTTTTTTCGATGCAGCCAACGCGTTCCATAGCGTGCACCATCGATTACTAGGAGCTTTTGCGAGAGCGCACAGTGATGAATTCACCAGTCGCCTTCTACAGCAACGGCTTAGGCATGCTACTGTGTATTTGTCTTGTGTTATCGTGAATTAGCTATGAGCATCGGGTCTGGCATTCTCCCGGGAGATAGCGTTGCGTGCTCCTGGTTCCTAGGGGCCTATCATTGGGCCACTGACTGTTTTGTTGGCCCTGGGGCTCCAGGAATTACTGTGGCTTGTGAGTGGTTGAAACATTGCCACACCCAGGAGCCTCTGGACAGAATAGCGGTATGTAGCAGGAGTGAGCGGCCGATAGAGATATCGTTCAACTCGTTTGCTGATGATCTTGCACGCTGTAGGGTCTGCCCGCGTATGCTAGCACTCCCCAGGCAGATACAGGCGCAACATGAACGTTTGGATGAGTGTCTCGATATGGTGGGGGTCGGGGCTAATGCGACGAAGTCGGAGATGATGTTCCAGTTCTTCGGCAAGGGCTCCCAGGAGGCCACCAGGGATCTGCAAGCCTTGCGGCAGAGTCCTGCATCCCTTGGGCTGCGAGTGCAAAGACTGGGGTGGTGGAGAGGCGTCTTGCAGCACCCAGAGAAGAATTTCCAGCTATTGGGGGCGATGTTCGGCTTTGCATTGTGGGACAAGAAAAACATCTGCGATCGAGCGGGATACGCTACGGGTCACACGACCCCATGGTGGGATCAGTTTCTGCAGGACCTTTCGCATCTCGCTGACGTCGGAGAGGTTCCCGAAATTCTCCAGCAGGTTCGTGAGCGCCCCGTGGCTCTGTTCTGCGACCCCGAGGTTAACCAAAAGGTGTGCTCCATAGATCCGAAGGTTTTGCTGTCAAAGTGGAGGTCTGTGGAGATTGGGCCGCCGGGGTGCGATTACGGGGAGGGGGAGGTGCAAGTGACGGATACTACGGCTTCACCCGGCGATGCGAATGAGGATGGCATGCCTGACATACGATTTCAATGCGATGTTGTGCACGACGGAGTGCGATGCGAGTCGAAGTTCGACACGATGAGACAGCTCAGACTGCATCAAGTAAATTCCCGGCAGCCCGGACACGGGCACAGGCTGTTGGCAAACATGGTCATTGTATCCAATGCTTGCGTGATTTGTGAGAACTTTTTCACATCTCGACGAAATGCAGCGGCTCACCTTCAACTGTGTCTGGAGAGAGGTGTGTGTCCGAGGTCGAGAGGCTCGGCTGTTGTTACGTCCCACTTGCATGCTGCCCCTTATCGTTGCGACTTGTGCGAGGTAGATTTTGACTGCTACGAGCACGCGCGTTGGCATTTGCTTTCACACCTGCCCCTTACCGAACAGAGCTTCCTCGTTGAGCTGCCCGCGCCATGAACAACTGGGCAGCCACCTTCGCCTCGGCGAGACAGGCTGGGGGTACCGAAGGAGGGAAAAGTGCTCGGAAAGTTTGGGCAGTAGAGGATTCGAGTGACAAAAAGAAAACTGACGTGGCATTGAAGTTGTCGGTCATTAACAGCCAGAAGGTGCGCCTGCTGGAAGCAGCCGCCATGCGGCAGGTGCCCCTCCAGGTCGATGGCGGCGGGGTGTACCCGGCCATCAAGCGCGCGCACGACGAGGAATACCTCCCTCGGGTGAAGGGCAAGCGCGGCCACGGGCTCGGAGCGCCGGATTCCTTCGCGTGCACCGCCACTGTGCTCGCCCTGATGGAGAAGGCATCTCCCGAGATTCAGGCTGACCTTCGGAAGTATCTCGATCAGTATGCGCCCGGGTCCTCCGCGGCGCAGAAATACGTGAACTTGTTTCACACCGAGAAGATGCACGACGCCAAGCAGCGCCGGCTGATTATCTCATTGCAAGACAAAGCTTTCGAAACCGTGCTTGTCACTGAGATCGAGAAGCAGTGCGGGGTCCACGAGTTTGTCGGGCCGCGCCCCCCCGGCTTCTTGGAGGTGGAGGCGCAGCGGATGCTCGAAGGCCAGGTGTGAGCGTGCCGAGCGTTGCGCCCCAGGCAGCCGGCGTTACGACGAATTCGTTTCTTTTACTCTCGAGGTGTCGCTGGGTCCAGCCCGATTGTCAATGGTAGAAAGCCCGATTGCGAATTGTATCTTGCAGGGCGTGCGAATTGCGCACCAGATTTGTAACCTCCGTAGTGCGCGATTCTGGGCTCTCGCCGTTCCGCGGGTTCCCCCCCTTGTCCTTGCTCCTCCCCCGCTCTGCCTGGCCCCATCCTCGGGGCGCGGATCCGG